CTCGGCATCAGCCCCCTTTAGCCGCCGCGTGGCTCCGGAAGCGTCGGAAGCGCGGCCGGGGAGCCCGCGCGGGAAGGGCTGGGGACGGCGCGCGGTCCTCTGAACGCTCGCGAAAGCGTCAAGTGGGGAGGAGAGAGGGGAGGCGAGGAGAGACCGAGCGGGTGGAGTGACAGCTGGGGGGTACATCTGTGATGACAGCAATGCACACGCAGCACACTCGCGCGCACAAACAGCCCCAGCGCGAAGGGACTGACTCAGAGGTGCGGGCAGCCTCCACTTTCCCGCCCTCCCCAGTCTCCAAATCCAGGCCGGGGTCCAGGGCTCCGAGGAGCCCCGTTCTCTCCCTCTCCCCCCCCCGCTTCAGCAGGTGCTTTCGTGTGGCTGGAAGTCCTTCCTTCCTTCCTTCCTGCCGCCCCCGCTTTTCGGAGCAGGGCAGGCCTTGGGCGTTAAGCCTCTGCCGGCAGCAGGTCTACCCGGAGAAACGAGAGTTCTTTTTTTTCCCCCGCTTTGCTCTTTTTCCTGCTTGGGCGGGAAAAAAAGCCGGGAGGGTCTGCAGAGGAAATGAACAGAAAGCCTTTGACATCTGCATAGTGAACAACCAGCCAACCAACACCAATATCACCCCTGGGGAAAAGGGACGGTGTGACCCTGTTTGCCAGCCAGTTTGGGGTCACAGGGGTCCAACCAAGAGTCATACGAGGCCTCCACTCCAGGGCCTGGCTAGAGAGGCCAGAAAGGGAGAAGAACAAGTGGAAGTTATGTGGAAAGATGGTTACATTTTGGGGGTAAATTCAGCAGAGCAGCTTCTGAATGAAAGTGATGAGCAGGAGGCCAGCCATGGTGAGTTCTTTAAGGTAACCCCCAGCAATAAGCTTTAGGGTAAATTTCATTCTTCCTTTTAGGTGTTACCCTAAATGAACTCAGATTTTTTTAAAATAATAATAATATGACCCTAGAGAGCTGAAACTGTATATTATAAGAAAATGTGGATGGCTTATCAGATTCTTTTGCAGTTATTCTGCCACCTTAATTTCCAACAGTTAGAACAATTAATCAATGGGACGATTTGCCTCCAAAATTGTGAGTGTTCCAGCACTGGAGGTTTTTAAGAAAAGATTGGACAACCACTTGTCTGAAATGGTATAGGGTTTCCTGCTTGAGCAGGGGGTTGGACTAGAAGACCTCCAAGGTCCCTTCCAATGCTATTATTCTGTTATCTCTAGATTCCTATATGGTGGAGAATCTTTTCTTACAGATTTTCTGCTTTAAATAAATCTCCTTTCTTTCTCTCTGGACCTTCCATAACTTCTTCCAAAAGCTAAACCTTGCAAAGATTATTTTTGACAATCCTCTCTCATTCTCTCTGTCCTGTTACTTTGCTGTTATTTGAGGACTTGCATTGTCTTCAGTTCTTTATTGCCCTAAATTGCCTCTGTTGCCCTAAAAAGTGGGCCTTAAAAATTCAAAGGAAATAAGTGGTGAAGGAAATGATGGGTAGATAACTTTTGAGCTCCATAAAAGAGAACAAAGTTATCTCTGCAATTTGGGAGCATCTTTTTATACAGGGGTGAGGCTGAGCCAATGACTTGCTCTTAGGCAAGCCTACTTCACAGAATTATTGGGAGAATTTAAAGCTGTGTATGCAGGCTTGAGCTCCTGAAATAAAAACAAAAAAGGGGGAATATAAATTGAACAGTAAATAAATTCCTGGCCTATCAGGGTTTATAATGAAAAAAAAATATTTATATCCTACACTTTTTTTACATAAATAACTCAAGGCGGTAAGCATACTTAACACCTCTTCCTCCTTCTATTTTCCCCACAACAGCAACCCTGCAAAGTGAATGAGCTGACAGAGAGAGATTGGCCCAAAGTCACCCAACAAGCTTTCATGTCTAAGGCAGGACTAAAACTCAGAATCTCCCAGTTTACAGCCTGGTGCTTTAACCACTAGACCAGGATTCTTCGAACTTGGCCCTTTTATGACTTGTGGACTTCAACTCCCAGAATTCCTCAGCCAGCATGACTGGCTGAGGAATCCTGGGAGTTGAAGTCCACAAGTCATAAAAGGGCCAAGTTTGAAGACCCCTGCACTAGACCATATGCTATAAGAAGTCTTTTATTTATTTCATATCATTCAGTTTTTATCCAGCCCCATTTCTAGGGGCAACTAGGTAACAAAGAAATATGCAAAATAAAATGTTGATTACATTCACAGCCTTCATTTGCCTTGTAAGTAAACCAATGGATCTTTTTTAAATCCTTTGACTTAAGTGCACTGCTTCATTACTATGCCTTACTTCGGAAAAGTGCTTCAGAGTGCATTGGGCGCAAATGCCACATTTGTGCATAACTCTTTACAATTCTGTTCACATGTGTGCATGTCTGTGTGAATGTGAGCATGCAGTATTATTTAAAAGCTGTTTAAATAGCTTTTAGGACCCAAGTGCATAGTTATCACTGACACCATGTTTCTTTCAGTGATGCAAAAATGCAGCTTGAACAGAAGGATGGATCCTTTTCAGTTGATATTAATTCAAGGCTCAGACAGGAATTACACAAGTCTGTCCTCATCCCAAGGATGCATATGCTCACAGGTTTTTAATCCAATAATGGCAGATGTGGGTCTGATATCTGAGTAAGAACTGTAATTTGAGAATGAGGCAGATCCCAAATTACTTCTATAATAGGTTCTCACATCCCTCTGTCTTTCCTTGCCCTGTATCTTCTTGTTTTATTTTTTTCATAGATAAGATAGATAAGATAATATTTATATTATTATTATTATCTTTATTCAGCCAGAGTTTCATTCCATACAGCATTAACCTTGCGAACTCTCAAGCTTCCTCCTTCCGTTATATATTCAAGATGGACAATATTTAATATTTATTTAATATTTATTTGCTACATATATGTAGGGATGTGGGACTATACATATGTTGTTCATAGTATGTTTAGATGTGTGTCATGTATGTGTTTCACTTTGAGAGCGGGCAACTAAATTTCATTTTTGATGTGTGCTATTGTGCCCACAGTATAAAAATGACAATAAAGGTTATCTTATCTTATTGTCATTTTTTTTTACATTTTTTACTGTAGAGACACCTTAAGTATGTCACAATCTTAATTTTTGCAGCAACTGTTCTGTCTTGACAGTAGGTGTCTTTGGGATGGAGAAGTGACAAAACATATGTTGTAAAGCAAGCTTTTCTTCTTAGGTATTTGTGCATGTGACATCAGAAGGATGGGTTTGTATGATGGCATCATGGCCACATTCTGGTTGCCAGAATCTTATAGCAACTTTCTAACACCCTTCCTAGTTGGATTTACTTACGCTTAGCTAATTTCATTTTATTCATTTAAGACATTCTATCCTGCTCTATGGAGTAGAGAGTTGGTTTCTGACAGAAGGGCACCTGAAGAAACTAGAAGCATTTGGAATGTGGATTTATAGGCAGCTGTTACATATAAGCTGGGTTGAGAAGATCAGAAATGAGGAGGTGATAAGCCGCCTGGGAAAGCCAAGGGAAATTATCAAAACAATTAAAAAACGAAAATTAGAATATTTCAGACATGTGATGCAACACCCAGAAAAATACGGCATACTCCATTTAATTCTCCAGGGAAAGATTGAAGGCAAACGAAGTCCAGGCAGAAGAAGAACATTGTGGCTTCAAAATCTAAGGGACTGGTTTGGCAAAACTCAGCAGCACTTTTTCGTGCGGCTGCTGATAAAAACAGGATCGCCAACATGATCGCCAACGTCCAATAATGGATATGGCACAAGAAGAAGACATTTCAGGCATTTATTTATTTAAGACATTTCAGATTAATCCCTCCTCTGGAAAACATTACAAACATGAAGACATACCAATATATTTATACTAGACAAACTACATAATCTGATGCAACAAAGCCAGTCCAGTGCCTTTTCCCCTTCATTGTCACTTTGAGAATAGCATGCCTTTAAAATGAATGATTTGTAAAAGTCTCCCCTTAAAACCTAACCTCGACCGGGCAGCAAATATGTAATAAAGCAATTCCATTTGTCCTGCTGACAGAAATACTTGACTTTTCCTCTCCTTAAATTGTTTCTATTTCTGCCAATGATTGCCAGAATTACTGCTTAACTTCATTTCTTTTAGTCGATGAAGATTCTCAATCACCCAGGTAGAATTGTCTATAAGTTGAGTCATAGCGTATGGACTTATTTTCTTGTTGGCTTGAGATGTTTTGCTGCCCATCCAAAATAAGCCCAGACTAACCATGCAGCCAGAACTCCATCCATTTGTTATGTGCAATGTCTGTAAAAATGGGTAGGGCTTCAATCATGCAATTCTTTTTCCCTCGGTGGCCACCCCAGTCATGCCTTATTATGCAACCTAAGGCATAATGTCTTGTTTTTATTGATGGAATAAAAGCTAATCTATAGATTTTTAACAGCAAAGCCAGCTAGAATATGCTGCATATAAGCAATAGTTTAGTACCCAAAACAAGAGTATGCCTGAATCAATCAACTAAATTGACTAGTTAATTAATTAATTAATTAAAAAATAATCTTGTAGATTTAATGAAAGTAGGATAGAAATGTACACTTTTCAGCTAAGTTAACAGCTATCTTCCATCTTTAGAGTAAGATGCTGACTGTGTCCCTTTAATGAATTGTAACTGCAAGAGATGGCTTATATAATTGTCTATATATCAATTAAAAGGGAAAGTATTTTGTCAGGCTGTTTTATCTTGATAGTGTTCAGTGGGAGTTAGGTGTCAGAATTTCAGTACACCAGCTGATAGATCCGTTTCCTTTCCCCTCATTAAACCCCTGACTCTCACTTTCTGATTTGACTCAGCATTTACCTGTCATTTACACTTACTAGAGGTGTGACTTCCTCCAGTATCTCTGAGGAAAACGTCAGTTTTGCCCCTATAATACTTCTTGGATTTTTTTCTCTAATCTTCCTTTTTTTTTTTTTTTTTTTTGGCTTCTGTTTTCCTCGTAGCGGTGGGGGTACAGCTTAAATTGGAATGGCTCCAGCAGAAATTATGGGAGGCTACACAACAGGTAAGCATAGCAATGTTTTAGTTGAGGTAAAGGGCAAAACAGAGGGTCACTTCCCCATTTCTAGATAAATGAACCATATTGATAGGGCTGGGCCAAGTAGCGTTTCCCATACCAAATCTGCAGACAAGTCCTTGACTGCAAATCTGTATTAAACAGATTTGAGCAAGAGATTAGTTTTTAAATTGCACATTTTGGTAATCCCTTGACAACTTTAATGCTGCATCTGCTGCCAATCTGTTCTGAGAACATTAACAATCCAAAGCCTGGCTTGGCATTAAATCCACTGCAGCTGAAACACTGAAATGTCGAATCATATCTACCAGTTCAGTTATTCAAATGCCACTTTGATTTCATCCAGAATGTTGTATGAGCCCCTTATACGTCCTTCTTAATTAGGATCGTCATTCTTCCTTGCCTTACAAATTGATGCAAACAACCCTTCTGAGAGAATCTGCTGCTCTGTGCATTCAGTGGCTATCTGTTCATTTATCTATCAAAGGTATGGTACCATAAAATGTAGGGGCTTACTCTAGATGGCTTACAATAAAAACAATTGTTGTTGTTGTTAATTGCAAAGTCGTGTCCGACCCATCGCGACCCCATGGACAATGTTCCTCCAGGTCTTCCTGTCCTCTGCCATCTTCTGGAGTCCATTTAAATTCACGCCTACTGCTTCAGTGACTCCATCCAGCCATCTCATTCTCTGTCGTCCCCTTCTTCTATTGCCCTCAATCTTTCCCAGCATTAGGCTCTTCTCCAGTGAATCCTTCCTTCTCATTAGGTGGCCAAAGTACTTGAGTTTCAACTTCAGGATCTGGCCTTCTAAAGAGCAGTCGGGGTTGATCTCTTCTAGGACTGACCGGTTTGAACGCCTTGCAGTCCAAGGGACTCGCAGGAGTCTTCTCCAGCACCATAGTTCAAAGGCCTCAATTCTTTTGCGCTCAGCCTTTCTTATGGTCCAACTTTCACAGCCATACATTGCAACTGGGAAAACCATGGCCTGGACTATACGCACTTTTGTTGGCAGGGTGATGTCTCTGCTTTTTAGAATGCTGTCTAGATTTGCCATAGCTTTCCTCCCCAGGAGCAAGCGTCTTTTAATTTCTTGGCTGCAGTCCCCATCTGAGGTGATCTTGGAGCCCAGAAAAATAAAATCTGTCACTACCTCCATTTCTTCCCCATCTATTTGCCAGGAATTGAGAGGGCCGGATGCCATGATTTTGGTTTTCTTGATGTTGAGTTTCAAGCCAACTTTTGCACTCTCCTTCTTCACCCGCATCAAGAGGCTCTTTAGTTCCTCTTCACTTTCTGCCATTAGAGTGGTATCATCTGCATATCTTAGGTTGTTGATATTTCTCCCGGAATTTTAATTCCAACTTCATCTAGCCCTGCCTTTCTCATGATGTGCTCTGCATATAAGTTAAATAGGCAGGGCGACAGTATACAGCCTTGCCGGACTCCTTTTCCAATTTTGAACCAATCAGTGGTTCCGTGTTCGGTTCTCACTGTTGCTTCTTGACCCGCATATAGGTTTCTCAAGAGACAAATGAGATGGTCTGGTACTCCCATCTCTTTAAGAACTTGCCACAATTTGTTGTGATCCACACAATCAAAGGCTTTTGCATAGTCAATGAAGCAGAAGTAGATGTTTTTCTGGAACTCCCTAGCTTTCTCCATGATCCAGCGTATGTTGGCAATTTGATCTCTAGTTCCTCTGCCTCTTCGAAATCCTGCCTGTACTTCTGGTAGTTCTCGATCCACATACTGCTGGAGTCTAGCTTGTAGGATTTTAAGCATAACTTTACTAGCATGTGAAATGAGTGCAATGGTGCGATAGTTTGAACATTCTTTGGCATTGCCTTTCTTTGGAATTGGAATGTAAACTGACCTTTTCCAATCCTGTGGCCACTGTTGAGTTTTCCAAATTTGCTGGCAAATTGAGTGTAGCACTTTTACTGCATCGTCTTTTAAGATTTTGAATAGCTCAGCTGGAATACTGTCACCTCCACTAGCTTTGTTGTTGCTCAGATTTTCTAAGGCCCATTTCACTTCACATTCTAGGATGTCTGGTTCGAGGTCAATGACCATCTCATTGTGGTTATCTGGGATGTTAAGCTCATTCTTGTATAGTTCTTCTGTGTAGTTTTGCCATCTCTTCTTAATCTCTTCTGCCTCTGTTAGGTCTCTGCCATTTTGGTCCTTTATCATGCCCATCTTTGCATGAAACGTTCCCTTCATATCTCCAATTTTCTTGAAGAGATCTCTGGTCCTCCCTATTCTGTTGTTTTCTTCTATTTCTTTGCACTGTTCATTTAAGAAGGCATTCTTATCTCTTCTAGCTACTCTCTGGAATTCTGCATTCAATTGGGTGTATCTTTCTCTTTCTCCTAATAAAATTGCATGATCTGATAAAACAAATCAAATCCCAAAAAACCAAAATAAAAACAAAAACCCAGGTCTGATCATGCAAGACAACTGCAGAAAATAGTAATCCCAAGACCAGAGAAAAAGGTTTCTTAAAGGGCAACCAGGTCAGGGCAAGGCAGAGCTCTGGGGATGGGGGATAGACCATTCCAGAAGGTTGGTGCCACAACAGGGAAGGCATACTCTCTGGTGACCCATCAATAATGGTACTTCAAGGATGGGACCCAGGGCATGCTGGGTTGGTACAACTATGGGAGAAAAACAATTCCTCAGATAACCAGATCATATTCCAATGTATTTACCGCTTTTAGCATTGTCTTAACTGTGTTTGCATAAAAGCACTGAAGCCATTCATCATGAGCTCAGGTGGCACAGTAATGAGATTGCAATATTGCAGGCGAGCTCTGCCCACAGCCTGGAGTTTGATCCTGACAGGGATCAGGGTTGACTGGGTCAGTAAAATGATGACCAGATTGTTGGGAGGGCCTTATGCAAATAATCTTCTACATTATAAATCACCCAGAGAGTGCTGCAAAGTTCTATGGGATGATATATAAGTCTAAATGCTGTTGCTATCTTCACATAAGCCAAAAGGCATTTGACTGTGTGGAAACAGCAAGCAAGGATTCTAAGATGTTTGTGTTAAGCAAGATCTTAATATTATAAGCTTTATAATACATTTTTAAAAGAAAAACACAGTGTAGTCTTTTGGCAGAGCTTTCTTCCACCATACTACCTTGAGGCTAGCTGTCCCCAGTTTCCACACAAGACTTTTTAATGATGTTTGACCGCCTAGTCACAACATGGTGTGGCTATGGAGAGAGAATTCTGCACCATTTGTCATCAATCATCTCATTTATCTTTGATGGCAGAGATTTTCATTATTGGAAGGATGTACTGATTTCACTGTTCTGATAGCCACAATCAACAGCATCAATGGAAAAGGTTAAAAAAAAGTCAAGATGATGGCCACATTCCTATGACTGAAGATCTGCCCTCTTTTTTTATGCATCATTGCAGATGACTCCAAAAGGATATGTCAGCCCAGAGCAAATCTCTCTCTTTCTATCTGATTTGATTTATTTTGAATGTAATTTAAACCAAATTAATTAATGGATTAATCTAATCCATTATTAAGTGATATGGTAATCCATGTATATTTAAGAGGGATTTTCTCACATTAAAAATGTACAACTTAGAAGGCCATTCCTAAGACAGAGACTGTAACAACTGACATTTCGGAACCCGATGCTGTACACCCCAGGAAATGGTGTATTTTGAGAGAAAATAAAGGCAAATTTCAACTTTTGCTCATATTTCTGTTCGTAGAATCCACAAAAAGTTGTATAGGAAGCTTTCTTCTGGTCTGTGGAACTCAACAGTGAATAAGTCGTTAATGGTCATTTTCTCTCTTCTTTCTGTTTTATGTTGCTTCTGTTTACTGTCTTGCAGCCCAATGATACGGATGTAAGTAAGAAGATTTAAAGACTAAAATATTCAAGAGAACCTATGGATTATGTACATCACTAAGCTTTGATTATTGTTTTGTCGTTTGTGTGTGAGGTGTGAAGTTCGAATATTCCTCTTTGTATACCCAAATATTACAGACAAATCAGATTAAGTTGCTAAAGACTGGGAACTGGCACAATAGAAACAGATTTAAAACTGATTACATCTCAAATATATAAAAATAATCCGGCCAAACACTCTACAAATTCTGTGAAGGAAAAAAAATCTTAAGTATCAACCCCAGGAGGAATCCAGCTGCAAAGATTACAAAAAGCTCCTTAACAAATCTAAGACTGAGGCAACTGAACTCAGCTTTGTATAACGGCTATAAAAAGAGATAGCAGGAGGTTTGTATTTTCAGACTTGCACGATTCTGTTAATGTAGCCTTTACAATAAAATAGGATGATCTCATCTGGCTGTGTCTTCTCTCTGATCTACTTGGGGAGGCTGATATCAATCTTGCAAGTCTGAAAGTTCTTATTAATTTTTTTTATAAAAGAAGATAAAAACTAATGCACGTTAATATAAAGTTAAGAAAAGATAAAAAAAGAAAGAAATTAAAGAGAAAACTAAATGTGCAAAAAAAAAGAAAAATAGAGAAGAAAAAAGATACAAAGAAGTGATTCCTGATCTTTATAGCAGTTATAAGTACAGTTATAGATTTATCTTCTTTAAAGCTACATGTCTCTCTTCTTTCTATAATTTACCCTGTCTAATCATCAAAACTATAAATCGTAAGTTCATTTTTTTCTGTTTTTGACAAAAAGCCTAAAAAGACTTTCCAGTCAGCAATAAATATAGATACTGTCTTTTCTCTGATCAAAGAAGTCAATTTGGCCCTCTCAGCAAGTTCTGTCATCTTCACCAGCCATTCCTCCATTGTAGGTTTTATCAATTTTTTCCATCTTTGTGCATACAATAATCTTGGTATAGTAATCATATACAAAAAATGTCATGACTTTTTTCCAACTGTGTTCATCAGTCCCAAAAGAAAGACCTCTAATCTCAATTGTTTATTAATTTTAAAATCCTCTGAATCAGCATATATATGAATCCAAAGTTTTCTAGCTTTTTTACATGTCCACCAAGCATGACATGCCTCTTCTTTTTGTTCACTTTTTCAACATGAATTTGAATTGCCAACAGAACATCATTTTATAAAAATTATTTAAATTATAACATAGTATAAATGTCAGTCCTTTGAACCACATATTTTCCCATTGTTCCATCTGTATATGATAACCAATTTTTTTTAATTTGTCATAGATTCTCCACTTGTTCTTCTATTTCAAATTTCAATAGAAGTTTATGGATTTTATCAATTACATATTCATTATTTGTATGTAATTCCATTTCAAAAGCACAATAGTCAAAATCAGAAACTTCTTTGTCTATTTTAAATCTTTCTAATCCATGCCGTGCAAATCTTTAGTCATGTCCTTCTAACTCCAAAGTGTTTCTATTTCTCAAATATACCCATTATTTCATCCAAACCAAGCAGCAAGCTGCAAAATACAATTTCAAATCAAGTACACTCAGTCCTTTCCTTTTTCTTTCTATCCTGTAAGACCATATATTTAACTTGTGGTTTTTTTCCCCATGCAACACAATTTTAGATATATCTTTTTGCCATTGCTTGAATAAAACATCAGTTTTCAAAAGAGGAATTGTCTGAAATAAAAACTTCAGTCTACAGAGGACATTTATTTCTATTCCAGAAATTCTCCCCAGCAACATATTTATTCTATATATCTTATCAATTTCTGCCTGCATATATCCTCCTCATCATAATCAAAAACATTTGCTAAAGCAATCTTCAGCAGAATCCTTTGGAATTGCTCTAATTCTCAAGCAAAATTCCTTCTTTTGCAATTCCAGTAGTGCCATATTATCTAATACTTTTTCCAGCTCTCTGTCCATAACTCATTCATTTTACATCTCCAGATACTTGTTTTACCGAGCTTTTGTTCTTCTCAATGTCTTTTTATCTCCTCTTTACAGATCTTTGAGTCACATTTTTTTAAAAAACTGCCAATTTAGGATGCAGTGATTTAGTCAGTTTATTATACTTTAGTTAACTTATTGCCCAATTTCTCAAACATTTTCTGAAGTAAATCTGGTGTAATTCCTCTTTTGCAGGTTGCTCTAGCACAGCGGTTCTCAACCTATGGGTCGCGACCCCATTTGGGGTCGATTGACCATTTCACGGGGGTCGCCAAGCAAGGCTGTCCGCGATTTTTTTCCCCTTTTCCCTTGGGCTGGGCCAGCTGGTGGCCCAGCCGGTGATCGGCCTGCTCCATCTCTGCCGCTTGCCAGCTACGCCTCGGCCGGCACAGGGGGCAGCACCATGCATGCACGGTGCTCCCGGGCATAGAAAGTCCTCGACTTACGACCGGTTGGGTAGTCCTCGACTTACGACCGGTTTAGTCCTCAGCTTACAACCGGTTTAGTTCTCGGCTTACAACCGGTTTAGTCCTCGACTTACGACCAGTTGGAGGTTGCGGCATTAAAAAGGTTGAGAACCACTGCTCTAGCAAGCTGTTTTTCCATCTGCTATTTTTTCCACTTTTTGGTAGTTACCAAATAAAAGGCAAACTTTCCCCCTCCCCCCCCCTATTATTTTCTTGTGCCCTTAATATAGACCTGGGCCTTTTACTGCCTGTGGGCCACATCCAGCACTTCGGCTGTTCTTGTCGAGTCCACAACAGCAGCGCTTGGGTGGTGGGGGTGAGGGTTGGTAGTGGCAATCCTCTACATTACAACAATCCCACTTTCTTATGTGGCCACTTAGGAGAATTGCTCACCCTACCTTAATGCTTTTATCCAAATGGCACTTTGTAGTGTAAGCATTACAGTTTAGCTCATATTATCTTTATCTTTTGTTTTGTAAAATTCACCAATTGTCTGCATTCTTAATAGCAAGGTCTGGTTTGCTTGTCTATTTTAATTCCAATTTATTTAAAAGCAGTTTCACACGCACACAACTCCTTTATCAGTTGTAAACATTCTTACATCTACTTCTTGTTAAACTTTTTGCTAAAAGTTTTTAACCTTTACAGTCCTTTTTTTCTTTTTAATCCACAGAGAATATTGACTCACTAAGTGGATTATTTTTATCCTGCCACTCCGAAAAATATCTGTTTAGCTGTAGATCAATTACATCTGAAAGTGGATAAGAAAGTGAGGCTTCTGTGAACCTAGTGTCCATAGAGGCTGCATCATGGCTGTGAACTTGATTGAAATCCCTCAACTCCCAAGCACTCAATTCCTTAGCTGACCACAAAAAAACTGTTTTTGAATTGAGTATTTTCATGATCTCTCCTTGTCTGGAAAGACAGCCCCTGCCTGAATATGCCATCTGGCTCCCGCTCTCCACCTCAGTGCTATCCCCTCTCCTTCAGGGATGTTTAGTCTGCCATAGATCCTCCCCCAGAAGCTAAACACATTAGAAATCTTAAAATCCATAGTAACACAAGAGTAATTGAGTACCACCAATACACAGCTTCTGAAAGCCAAGTGCTTGATTTCCAGATTGTACATGTCCTGGCATGCTTTGATGTGCCAATGTAAATGTAGGCACAACTAATCATAAATATATTAAGGGAAACTAAACTTTATATGAAGGACAGATTAATTTGTACATGTGGTACATTGGATATCCAATCAGGAATATTTATTGAATTTTTTGCAGCAAACCACACATTTTAATTAACACAGAGACAAATACTGGAATGGTAAACAGGCTACAAGAATACGATTGTCACAATCAGTTCTTGTCTTTAGGAAATATTTGCATTCCTGTTTGTTAATCTGAGGGATGGGATACTGACTCTAAAAACTGATCTGCATCTACATCTCAATTCTGGTCCTCATAACTTCTTGATGCATTTCATAATATAGAAGCAATTAGAAGGTTTGTGGCCAACTTTATGGCTTGGTTTACCCATACAAACAAGTAAATGTTTGTATCAAACAAATTCATTTTACATTATCTCTCCCAGAGATGATACTAAATTGAATGAAGGAAACCTCTCTTTTTTAAAGCCACCTCATTATATAAAGATAAAAATGGGATTTTTACTTTTCCCTCCACCTCCCTGAAGCCTCTTACAATATAGTGGCCCTGATTTTAGAAAGATTGCTAAATACTTGTAGTAGCTTTTAAATATATATATACATATTTCTGACGCCCTTCTTTGATATTACTTGCCTTCTGTGAATCATCATCACCATTACTGCCACTATCATCAATGCCATCAGCGTTAACGCCATCAATGATGGTGGGCTTTCCATCTCTGGAGGTTTTTAAGAAGAGTCTTGATAGCCACCTCTCATGGATGATTTCATTGACTTTCCTACGCATTGCAGGAGTTGGGGTTAAATGATGCTTACAGTCCCTTCTAATTCTGCAATTCTGTGATCACGCTGTTGTTATTAATGGTTATAAAATCCGAAGTAAGTAATGTCTCCTTGAAATTAAACTCTGCTCTTAGTGACTCCCTGGATATGATCATGCAACAATCTGCAAGTAGTTGTCTTCTACTGATTAGTCAAACAACCATCTCAGATCAAAGCACAGCATCAGTACATAGTAACAGAGTAAAATTAATGCAACCTATTTGAGTTCAGTAAAATATTCTAAGTTCATCTCCTTGGCTGTTGACCGCAATCTGATCTTGGTAGGAAGTTCTTGGTTGAATGGCTTTAACTATAAACGTTGGCAGCCTTTCTGAGTGTCCATGTGTTTGTGCTTTAAACAAAGGAAGATAGCCTGTTGATTGGATTCTTATAAGTTGTCCTGCTGATTAGTGACTCTGAATACTGCATCCTGGCTCAAGCATATAGCCGGCAATCACAGAGAATATATGCAGGGTCTTGTATATGTGGAACACCTTATAGATATTTCCTTTCTAAATATGGTGCTTGATGGAATCCTCATTTTATCATAGAATCCACAAGCTCAAATGCTACTCTGATTAAGGCTGCTCTCTGGCCTTGTGTTAGGCCCACTGTTGAGTATTTTTCTAGGTGGAAAGTCTTTTTATTCTGGGCCAACCACTTTAAGGACTTGATATAGCAAGTGTTGCTATGTCAGCCTGAGCACTAATATCCAGGGCACCCTGTTTGAACAGTTAAACACAGACACAGAAGCAGGATAAAAATAGGGTGAGATGAATCTGTAGCTGCGATGGAAAGAGAGAGAAGGTGGGGGAACAAAACTGGATGGAGATGTAGAAAAAGGAAAAGTTAATTGAAGAGAGAAAGAAAAAAGGAAAGAAGAGAGATTACAAAAAAGATAAAAGTCTCCAGGTAAATAACCCCCTGTAAGTACAGTACAGGTAATCCTCAACTTACAACCACAATTGGGATGAAAAATTTCCATTGCAAAGCAAGTTGGTGGTTAAGTGTGTCACGCTTGGTTTCGTAACCTTTTTTGCCATGGTTGCGAAGTGAATCACTGAAGTGTTTAAGTGAATCATGTAGTCATTAAGCGAATCCAACTTCCCCCATTGACTTTCCTTCTCGGAAGCCAGTTGGGAAGGTTGCAAATAATGATCATGTGGCTCTGAGACACTGCAGTGGTCGTAAATAAATGCTGGTTGCTAAGAAGCCAATGCTATCACGTGACCATGGGAATGCTATGCAAAAACCAGTCATAAGCCACGTTTTTCAGTGCCATTGTAACTTTGCTCAGTCGCTAAACAAATGGTTGTAAATCAAGGATGGTCTGTAATCCCAAGTCTTCAGGGCTTTTCAGCAGAGATATCTGCAGTATTTGCACTTGTATTCCTTTGCTTGTTTTCAACATTGTTTTTAGCCAGTCTAGGATGATCTGATTCACAGATTATAGTTTTAGGAAGAAACCTTATTTTCTTATCAGGTAAATACAATAATATAAAAAGCCCAGATTTACTGAAAAAAATACCAGTTATCCCATAAGAGAAGTTTTTTTTAAAGTAAAAGTGTCAACATTTCAATTGCAACCCAGTCTTTTCCATAAATATCTTGCATATTACTTCTATTCCCAAATAAACAAGTATTTAAATGCTTACCAGATTCATGGTATTGCTGATATGTTATTGCTAGAGGTCAAAATATCAGGATGGACCCAGTCAGAAGAACACTACTGTAGGAAATTATTTTTAATCTACCTGAATAATATGAGTAGTGCTAGAATTAGACAGGAATATTCCATAAATCCAGAGAAAGTACTTAACACAGCTCAGGAAAATGCATCTTAAAATAAGAAATTATTTAAACTCTTTCTCTTCTTTTACAGTGTAGTAATGTGGACGGCTTGTGTCCAATGAACTGTCGTGATGATGTAAGTTGTTTAGACTTTGATTTTGCTCATATCTGTAATTCAGTGGTTCAGGGCCAAATTTACTTTCATGCTATATAGACAGCTTAAATCCAGCATGAAAGGAGACCCAGCATCACTGTTCAACTACTCTTATTTATCTTTTTTATGATGTTTTTACAAATGAAACTATGATAACAAAAGATGGTTATTTGTAGAGCATTGCATGACTATTTTACCTGAAGATCAGATCAGATATGGTGGTGGATAGCAGGCTGAAACTCCCAAATTATTGTGAGTTGAGACAGGAGAAATCATGAACGTGAGCATTCTCTGGGGAGTTCTCTATTTTGTCTCAAAATAAAGTCCCCCCCCCCCGATTCTTAGAGGTTTCCAAAGACACCAGAAGCCAGGGCATTTTGGAAGGTCTATGGCAGTGGTGGGCACGTGTGCCGTCGCCCCAGTCCTAGGCCTTCAGCTGGGTTTTATAAAACCTTTTCGCTTTAGGCCTCCGCCGCCATGTGCAAAAGAAAAAAAGGTTCAATCAATCAATTTCAACTCGCGGGAAAAAAAATCTTGCAAAGTTGGAATTGATTGATTGAACTTTTTAGTCCCACCCAGTCTGTCATTACCACCACAACCACGCCCAGCCAATGGGCCACACCCAGCCAATGGACCATACCCACCCAGCACCCGACGATGCATAAGTGGGTTTTGGGTTGCAGTTTGGGTACTCGGACTCTAAAAGGTTCACCATCACTGGTCTATGGAGACCAATGTTAGGGCCAACCATGGTTTTTGTTATGCAAAATTGTTGAATTTAAAGTATTATTTTTATCAGTATTTTTCATTGGGGTATATATGCTGTTATTTTAATGTAGATTGCTTAGAGGCATTCCAGATATAGGTATATAGAAATCTTATAAATAAGTAAAAATATGCCTCATTGACATAAAAAGAGAAAGCTACAGAACCTTTTATTTTCAATTAATGTTGCATTCCTTCTGGTATAACTTATGATGGACTCAAGAAGTGAATGGCGAAAAGCAGCATAGGTGGGGTAAACCCCAAAATGGCTAGAACTTACTTACTTACTTAGTTCTTTCCTTCCTTCTCCCTGGTCTATAGTTTGTTGATCAACTGAAAGACTGTTCTTGCCAGAGATCTAAATTGAGCCTTAGATGATTTTAAAGATCTCATCTAAAAAAGATGAGATTGTTAACCGTTAGGTTACTTTTATGCAGTCTTCAGGATTCTGGTCTCCCCATGACTTGTTTCACCCCTGTCCAGTGGTGGGATTCAAATACGTGAACAACTGGTTCTCTGCGTGGACGATGATTCCGGAAGTCTATTCTGGGCCTGGTCCTCCGAGGCCCAGAATGGACTTCCAGAAGCAGCATCCATGGACTTCCAGAGGGCCATTGTGGGCCTTGCGAAAAAGGGCTAGGGCTTCAGCTGGTTTACTGAACTCAACAAAAATTAGCTACCGGTTCTGCCGATCTGGTGTGAACCAGCTGAATCCCACCACTGCCTCAAGGGATACCTCAAACAGATTATTCTTGCAGCCCTCAACATGGAAATACTGCTCTTGAGGTCTATTCTTGACCTAAAACTCCTCCCCAAACTTTAACCTTTTTCTGAAGATTCTGTCTTTTTCTTCCCGCAGAAACTGAATTGCTATCTTATTGATAACAATGGATTCATACTTACTTCCAAAATCTCCCAACAGGTAAGAAGGAATGAATGAGTGGCTCTTGATCTTAGAAGAAAGACTAAATAAAATGGTCAGACTAGGAAATCACTACCTATATTTCTAAGGCTGCTCACATTTACCCTCCTGGAAACTCTGGCATACAGTTCTGAATGCCATCTGTTCTTCATATTGCAGAAAAAGAGAAATATTCATAACATGTGAGGTAATTATATCAGCTGCATTTAAGCATTTGTTATGGAAGTATCAAATAAATAAAACGAATTTTGTTCTTGCCCTAGCTGTATATACTTTGTCATACCCCATCAATTTTTGGAGTGCAACCCTGTCATGGCACTCAAAACCCTGGGGAAACAGAGCGTGCCATTAGACTAGCATGGGTGAGATACACCATCTCACACTGAAAGTTTAAGTTTTCATTGTTAAAAGAATTGTTAGTGCAAAATTCCTTCTGTGATGCCTTAACAGTAAAGATAAAGGTAAAGGTTTCCCTTGTTCAGTCATGTCCAACTCTAGGGGATGGTACTCATTTCCATTTCCTAGCCAAGGGAACCAGCATTATCTGAAGACATTTCCATGGCTATGTGGCTGGCATGACTATACACCAAGGCACATGGAATGCTCTTGCCTTCCCAATGAAGTGGTACCTATTTATCTACTCACATTTGCATGGTTTCGAACTGCTACATTGTCAGGAGCTGGGGCAGAAACAGGAGCTCACCCCGTCATGCGGTACTTGGGTGTTGAACTGTCAACCTTTTGATCAACAAGCTCAGCTTCTTAACTGCTAGGCCAAAAGTACCTGCCCTTTAAAATATGTTTAGATGCATATGAGTATGTACCAAAGACTTTTCAGGAACCTGTCAACTCCTACTTTGACAAAGCCATGTCAGACTAAATGTATCTTGAGTAAACAAAATGTTTTGATAGATGTCAGAGATCTTCTTCACATACTAATGCATTGTAATAATTTTGAAACCTCATTCAAGCACAATATTACTGCAGCAATGTAAAAATCTGAGTAAAGAAAAGGTAAGGAAAGGAAGGAGGTTGCAGTACCTTTCCAGTATTAGAACTTGAAAACATAAGAAAATTAAGAAGTGAGCGTGCTTGCTATCCTATCAGAAACTTCCTTGGAAGGATTAGGAATTGAACATGTATTAGCACAGCAAACTCCAGACAACTTGTTGATTGGAAAAATTAACATATGTTGATGAAAAAAAACCCAATAAAATCTTTATTAAAAAAAAAAAGAAACTTCCTTGGGCGAAAGTGACCTTAAACTACAAGGAGATTTGAGCAAAATAGCTTAATTGCCTTAATACCTTCCATCTCAGCAGAGGCAGCACTATTTGAATAATACATCAAGTATTCAAATCTTTGCATTTATTCTCATCCTTACAAAGTAGGCCATTATTATTATCTTGCATGTTGAAGGCAACACATAATGGTTTGTCTAAAGCTTGCCTCAATCTCCAGTGATCTGAAGCCTCCCACTGTATTCCTACAGCATGCGCCAACCAGTAAACTGTACAGATTTACTCGTTTTCTGAGTACATTAACCAATGAATTTGCTGGATTTGCTTAACAAGCCCAGTCAACCACAAAAAGGGGAAAAAAAGTTAAATCTAACAGATTTAGCAAAATTGGTGTGCATTTGCTATGTGTTTTTGCAGCCTGATTATAAGAACATAGATAGTGAGTTCAAAGCTAAACTGAGCATGGACTTCAGTTTTTTCAATTTAATGCAAGGGTGTCAAACTGCCGGCCTATGGGCCGGATGCATCATCGCGAAACCACGCCCATCCCATTGCCGGCAATGGCAAAAAAGTTGCGATATGTTGTGACACGTCATGTGACATTGTGAGTTTGACACCCCTGATTTAATGTGTCTTACTGTGCTTTCACTTTTTTCCCAAACAACATAAGTACATAGTCCTTATGCCCTTAAAGAATTTGCTATATAATAATCAGTATTTCAGCCTTGAAGCCTGTGGCAATATTCACACAACATCTATAAACCTGGTTACTGAATTAACTCTTTTTCAGGTTCACAAAATACAGTGAACTATAAACAAATCAACAGACTGTGTTTGCAACATTCTAAGACACTTTTTTAAAAAGCCCATTCTAACAATCAATTTTAGCCTGTTGTATTACTACTTTAATTTAGCCTGTTGTATTATTAGTGAATATTTAACTCACCTGCTTAAGAATGTCCTGCAAAACAAAACCTATGATTTAAAAACTCTCCAGAAACTCTGTTTTTATATCATACCTGCTTGCCGTTGCAGATTGGAAAATTCTTGGGAGAAGTAGATGGTTCTGTTACAATTCAGCTCGTAAATATGGGGATGCTCAAAGAGTAAGTGTCATCATCTCTTCCTTATATTCATCTCCTTTCAAAGAAGACCTTGTTTGAAGCAAAATGCTTCACAGCATAATCAAAATAAGGATGGAGCTGCCTAAAGATTCATTGACATGAGAGTTAGACTCAGAATCTTTATTAAACAATGCTAATTGTGCACGATCAGAACATGTCCATAGAGGAACCCAATGGCATGATGGGTAGGGTAAAGTTATTATCTGAAGAGAGTCTCAAGCAGAAACTCTGTGCTTCCATCTAGTGGTTGTCTGGAATTTAGCATCTCAGATCTGGTAGCTTTAGCCAGATTCTTTCATCATTTTGAAGGTGCCCCAGAGCCACCATCGCTGCTAGTGCCCCCCTGAAAGTGGTGTGTGTGTGTGTGTGTGCAAGCCATAGGCTCCCTCCGTGTAGCCACTAGCTTTCTAAATAAGAATTGATTTGGGATGGGGATTCCCAGAAAGAACTTTGATTTGGGACCTAAATTGCTCTTCTTATGCTCTGAAAGTGCCTCATTTCCAATAATACTACCAATTAAAATAAACAGGATGAAGAGAGTGGATGATAGCGGGAGAGCCAGTTTGGTACAGTGGTTAGGGCACCAGGCTAGAAAGTGGGAGACCATGAGTTATAGTCCTGCCTTAGCCATGAAAGCCAACTGGGTGACTTTGAGCCAGAACTTTCATTCTCAGCCCAACGCACTTTACAGCAGGGGGTCCTCAAACTTGGCCACTTTAAGACTTGTGGACTTCAACTCCCAGAATTCTGGGAGTTGAAGTCCACAAGTTTTAAAGTGGCCAAGTTTGAGGACCCCTGCCTTACAGGGTTGTTGTGGAGAAAATAGAAGGAGGAAGGTGTATTGGATATGTTTCCCACCTTGATTTATTTGTAAAAATAATAAAGGCAGAATATGTATATAAATACATACCTACATACTATATATACATTTCTGGTTTTGTTAATTTTGTTCCCTATAATACAGGTTTGTTCTAAAGCAGGGCTTTTCAACCAGTGGTACGGGTACCACCTGTGGGGTACATTGGCACCTGGCAGGTGGTACACAACCATCCTAGAAAAGTGATAGCGGGGAAGGGGAATGAGCTGAACCGGTAGTAGCACCACACAAGCCTGAGCGAGAGATGGCTGGAGCTGCAGGGTTGTCAGGGCTCAGCGGAAGCGCCAGGATCAGTGCTGCTTTCCAGCTGATCGGTGCTTCTTCGGGGCTGTCAGGGCTCAGTGGAAGTGCCAGGATCAGCGCCAGGCTCCAGCTGGAGCTCGGCGCTGATCCTGGTGCTTCTGCTGAGCCCTGAAGAAGCACCAATCAGCTGGAAAGCAGCACTGATCCTGGCGCTTCTGCTGAGCCCAGAAGAAGCACCGATCAGCTGGAATGTTACAGCATCTCCAGGGTCTTGTGATTTACATTCAGATGTTTGGCAACTGATTCATATTTATGACGGTCAGTGTCCCAGGGTCATGTGAAGTGACCAAAACCTGCTGCAACCACCCAGCAGACAGGGGGAATAAAAACAAACACCCCCCACCCCACCCCTGCTGCCAATCCTCAACAGAAATGCTCACAACAGTGAAAACCTCGGACAGGAGGAAGAGCGCCGCCAGGTGGGCAGGCAGGTGTCTTGCTCGCCTGTGCCTTGGGGGGGGCATTTTTTTCAGTGCCATTGTAACTTCGAACAGTCACTAAGCAAACTGTTGTAAGTCAAGGACTACCTGTACTTTTTTCCCTTTTTTTGGGTCATCAAGTTTTTGACACTGTTTTTAAAGCAAAGGAGTTTTATACTTCGGTCCTGGGAGCACGCTCATCACCACCTATAATGTTTAAAGGTCTGGAAGAGAAGAAGGCAGAACAGCAGTCTGAAGAAGTTGTATTAATGAAAGTTGGAAAACTACAGACTGAGGGGTCTCAACAAGTTGAGATGAAGGAGCAGAGAATGACTCGGGCAGCATACAAACGCAAGGAAAAGGAACAACAGAAAAAGGAGGTTAAAGAAGTATTACAAGAACTTGTTTCTGAGTCTGTGGGAGAAGCAAGACCTAAGAGTTCTTTGGTGCAATCCTCAACAGCAAATCTTCAAGCAGCTTTCTCGAGGTTATTGGATAAGAGAGATGGGTAAAGAATGTAAAGATTGTTTTAAGGTCATTGACAGATTACAGCCCATTGTGGATGGAACTGGTTATTGGAAAAGAGGAGGGAAGATTATGGAGACTGAATGAAAACTTTAGATAAGTGTATGCTTAGAAACTTAAGGAGCATTTAAAGGAATATTTTGTTTTAAATATGTATAAGGGAATTTCAATGGTATAAGTAACGCTTATATGTGTGTTTTTGATTGTGATGATAAAGAAAGATGGATAAACTTTATATAATATAAGTATGATATTAGAAAATATTGTTTAGCTTTTTGAATGATTTATATTTAAAGTTTATAATATCTTAATGGCGGACTAGATTCCAATTAATTTACTTTATATGAAATATGATATTTTGTAATGTTATTAAGTTAGGGAGATGTTTGGTTTATTAATTGTGAAAGAAACAGAAGTTGTGAATTATAGATAAAATAAATTATAATGGTAAATTAGTAGGATTGTAATGACAAAGAAATTATTTTAATGTTAAATTTAATTATAGCGGTATGGTAGTTAATAGGATAGTATTGGAAGAAGGTTTTTTTTTCTTTTCTTTCTTCTTTTTCTCTTTCTGTTTTTCATACATAATGGAGTTAAAGTACTTAATAATTCGTTTATTGAATGTAATTATATTTGTTTGAGGTTTATTTGAGTTTAAAAGTTTTTCCTTTTAAGTTCTAGTTAACCCTGTATTCAGCTCTGGGAAGAAGGGGGGAGGGTTTTGGGGAGGGTTGGGAGGGATTGGGGAAGGGGTTTTTTATTGTAAAATTGTAAAAATTTATAATAAAAAAAGTTTTTGACACCTTGCTAGTGGTATGCAGATGTTGCCATATCCTAAAAGTGGTACAATGGGTGAAAAGGTTGAAAAGCTCTGTTCTAAAGAACTGCTGGTTCTGTCTCACTCACTTTGGCAACTATGATATGCAAATTACATGATTATAAATGCAATGTATCTGTAATGATATAATAAAAAAACTTCGATAAGAGGAATGTCTGCTGACTAGCTCAGCCATCCTTATGTTTATGCAGCATGTGAACAAATATTTAATATCAATATATTTCACCACCCACATTTTGAAATGCAACAAGAAAGATGTCAGGAAAACAGTTTCAAACACATACCTTTATGTCACGGTAATTGTCAGAGGTACAACACACATTCCTATATTATCAAAATAACTAGTTCTGTTACATTCATGTTCCAAACTTGGACATTTCATGTATTATCAGTCCAGCATGAAAATCAGAATGAAAGGAACAGATGTTACCCTGTAGATCTTCCCCACTTCATTACTTCCTGTCTCAATATCTTTGGTTCTTACAAATACTAGTTTTATGTTTGGTGTAGTATAGAACTTTTGATTGCCAGGGGTTTCATGTTCAAAGACCACATTTCTGAAAAGTCTGTTATCTGGAACCATAGAAATTTGATGCCATTCACTGTAGATTAGGGGTGTCAAACTCAATTTCATTGAGGGCCGCATCAGCATTGCGGTTGCCCTCGGAGGGGGCGGGTGGGTGTGGCCAGGGTGGGTGCGACCTACTGGGTGGGCATGGATGGAGTGGGTGTGGTCTACTGGGTTGGCATGGCCAGTTCCACATCATTTGCATCAAGGGTGCCTGTGGGGCCTGGGCAGGAGCAGGACAGATCTGAGGGTCTCTGGCAGAAGGGGGTGAGACCATGGCAAGCGCCAAGGCATGGTCCATTTCTTCATTCCTCACAAAGGGTGACACCTCCCCAGCATGCACCCAGGGGGCAGGGGCAACGTGGTAGGGGCTGGTTCCGCGCTGTTTCTAGACAGCCTTGTGGAGCTAAGACTGAATGCGTTTCAGCATAGATGGTCACCACAAAATTGTACATTGGCTCTTGGCTGGCCTGGGCCAGGGCCAAGGCAGCGGGGGCCATTCCCTCACTGTTTCCAGGATGGCTTTGTGGGCCACATGAAACCATTTTGCGGGTCACATCCGGCCCCCGGGCCTTGTGTTTGACATGTCTGCTGTAGATGAAAATAACTTATATGGGCTACAGACTGAGTATACAAAGGGTCCAGGACAGGTACATATAACCAAGAAGATATAAGGAGCACAGCCAGAACTATTGTGCATAACATTCAATACTATTTGTTTCTGGTCGAAGAAAATAACACAGCTGCTATAGTTAGGTGGGAAAAGTGGCTGAGATGCCATTCTTTGCCAGAATGGACTTTGGAGTGAATAGAATAGTAGCTGTGGTTATTTTGGTAAATAATATGTAGTATTTGCACATCGCAAGAGCACACTGCAAATGTAGTACAAAATCTCTTCTTTGACTATAGCAGATAAATCTTGCTGTGCAATATCCAACTGGAGGCATAAATGTACTGTAGGTAGGTACTGTAGGTATTTGCTTAGAGTATGAACTAAAGTCAGTTCTGTGCATTAACTGAATTTAAATCTAGGCAAAAGTCATGTGCAAGGCAGAAGAATATGTAGCTATGGGACTATAATGCAATTGTAACATATATGCCTTGATTAATTTCTGCCATTTCCACTAAAAAGCATCCTGAAGAGCAAAACTCTGAAGAACACTTTGAAATGCCATTGCTGATCAAGCAGCACTAGGGTGGGTAAATGATGGCTTTTAGAATAAGGGAATAAAGGGAATTCTGGGAGTTGAAATTCACCCAGCATAAACTTCCCAGAGTTGAGAAACACTGTTCTACACAAAAGTTCATGGTCACTTTTGTGTTTCTGCAGAGTGAAGATGTTTGATTACCAAGCCATGTGTAAAGTGCCCCATCACCATCATAGTGGTTCCCGTCCTCTTCTCAGTGTAAGTATCATAAACTACATCATGAAGTCACAGCCAGGCTTGGAGCATAGAACAGAATGATGCAAAGAAGCTCAGAAATGTTTTTCTTTCTGATTGTTGTTGTTGTTGTTAATTGCGAAGTTGTGTCCGACCCATCGCGACCCCATGGACAACGTTCCTCCAGGTCTTCCTGTCCTCTACCATCTTCTGGAGTCCATTTAAATTCACACCTACTGCTTCAGTGACTCTATCCAGCCATCTCATTCTCTGTCGTCCCTTTCTTCTATTGCCCTCAATCTTTCCCAGCATTAGGCTCTTCTCCAGTGAATCCTTCCTTCTCATTAGGTGGCCAAAGTATTTGAGTTTCAACTTCAGGATCTGGCCTTCTAAGGAGCAGTCGGGATTGATCTCTTCTAGGACTGACCGGTTTGAACGCCGGTCTTTCTTTCTGATGAGATTAGTCAAATACAGAATCATGGCACTGGAAAGGACCTCAGAGATCTCCTGGTAAAACACCTGTTCAAGGCAGGAGACCGTATGCCATCCTGGTCAAATGGTTGCCCTGTCTATTTTTGAAAACCTCCAGTGATGGTACATCCACAACTCCAGGAGGCAAGCTATTCCATTGATTAATTGTTCTTACTTTCAGAAAATTTCTCTTTCCTCCTGCAGACAAAGGCAGATAAGGAAGACAAGGCATGTCCATCTATATATTTTTTTTCCATTCTATAATTGGCAGAGCATTCTAAAAGAAAAAAGCTGTCCAGGGTTACATACATACATCTGAGCATCTGTACATGAAGACTAGTCAGGAATTATACAGTACTTTAGGACAGGGTGGATTTCTACTCTGTAATCGTTGTGTTGGTGGACAAAGTGGTCAGTGTTGAAGATAAACAAGCAACCAAGTTTCAGCAACCAAGTTCAAAAGCCCTGAGTTCTACAAGAAAGGATTCTCATGAAATTGCTGGTCTCATGGGGTAACATTAGATTTCCACTGTCATTTTGTGTTCCTGCTTTGCTTACGGTCCATGCACTTTGCTAGAGCAGAAGTAGAAACAATGGACACTTCAAGGAAGCATGGTGAATAACACCTGGAGCTCCTTAATGGAAGGAGGCATGTAAATCATTCCATTCATTTGTTCATTTTCTGAGTCGTACTTTTGCAAAGCAGGTGGTTTCCATACAACCGTACACTTTTGCAGTTAAAACTTGAGCAAATGAGGTTCATGCAAAAGGAATAAGCCAGATTCTGGTGGGGGAGGGGGAGAGAGAACACTTTTAAGATAAATTGGCTGAGTACTCCAGCCTTGATTCTGTGATTTCTCCCATGAGTTATTTGTACTGGACAAGTGACAGTGCATATATATTAATTTAGAGAAGATGGATGTTACTGAGAAAATTCATTCTAGGTTGGGAAAGTGAAGGGTGAACTTTTCATTCTTTCGGTTCTTGTCTTATTTGTGCATTTGTTTCCTTAGCAAATAAACTATATATGGCTCAAATTATAGTAATCTTACATTGGACCGTTCTGGAGCCATATTTGACTAGCAAACCCTTAAGCCTGCTAGCTCTGTTCTATACAGAAAATCCAGAAAAATACTCTTAACACCAGGAAATTTCATAATAGGTTTCTTTACCTAGTAACAATAGGATTTTCTACTATGGTTGAATTGATTTGTTTTATTTGGCTGGTTTTAACTAATTTGTAAAGAGACAATGTGGTGTAGTGGTTAAGGCATCAAGTTTGAAACTGGTAGATTGAGTTCTAGTCTCACCTTAGTCACAAAGCCACCGGGGTGACCTTGGTGCAGTCACTTTCTTTCAACCCTAGGAAGCAGACAATGGCAAACTACCTCTGAAAAATCTTGCTAAGAAAACTGAAAGGAGTTATTTAGCAGTTTCCAAGAATTGGACACAATTGAACAGAAGAAAAAAAACATTTATATTATGTTAACAATGAAGGATCTTTATTAGAATGGTGGTGTCTTTATAAACAGAGCCTTCTTCCTTCCTTTTTATTCAAACTGATCTCAAGTCTCAAGAAGGTTGCGTCTTTGTCTGTAAAGTTGAATTGTGTGGAAATGCAAGAATTTTTTAACCATGTACATTATCAATTATACATCCTGAAGATGGTAGCGCTAGTTTGGCTTCATTTGTCTGGTCAAAATGAGGAAAACTTAGTAGATTCATAGCAAAAGTAGCTCAGAAGTATTCATAAGAAGACAGCCAACGTTAATGCAATATTAATATAATCCAACATCAATACATGTCATTATTCCTATTGCAATAAAAATGGTAGCTTTACTGTCCAAAATGCTTTGGATTTTATTAAAATGAACAATATTTTCAGTACTGCATGATCCAAAACAGCTGTTTAGGGGAGGTATTGGTTGTTCAGCTCCACAAATAACCAGATTTTTTTTCTTATGCACATAATCTTTTAAGCCTTTTCAGTTGGAAGAACTTTATTTTCAAAATATTTAATATATTTTTCTTAAATGTCCTGATTTATTGTTAGTAGAAAAGACAACTGATTTGGATGCATGTTGCATTCTTAAAGAAAGCCATTTTAAGTTATTAAGAGAAACACAATTAAAATTGTGCACTATATAACATGTTTCTTTTTCTTTTGAGACTTAGTTGTTCTTTTTTCAACAGCCAGTTTACACATTATTGGCAGCAGCAAAGTGGCTGATCACCGATTTCCTCATGTGAGTATGAATGTTTTGGAATTCTAGCGGAAAATTACATCTGAAGAAATTATGTTTCAGAATTTAATTAGTATATTAAACATTGAATGATTGAGATCTTCAGATTAAGCATATTCTTAACTTTTGATAGTATTGTTGTTCTAGAATTTTATTATAGTAGGAAATGAACAAGAAAATATTAAAGCAACTTCAAAGCGGCCAGCAGTGCTAAGAAATATACAATTTCCCCAGAGTTGTCCAGATAAAATAAGACTGCAATTCCCAGCATGGAGATATTGCAATACTCTGATGGAAATCAAGGGGTATCTCTGAGTCTTCAGAATTATTCTTCATTTCTTAAATTTGACCAATTGAGTGTTCTAAAGAGAGCTGTGTGAATGAAAGCACATTTGAAAAGAGGTCATTTTGTTCCTGAGCAAGTATATTAAGCCCATTTACGTTACCTGCCACTTTATTAATGGAAGAGCAGGGATTTTTAGTAACAAAGATTTGCTGCTGATAAAGATATCTGGGGCAGCACCATTCAGTGATGCTGTGGGCCTCAGATGAAAGGATTGGATGGATCCAAATGCCTCTGAGCAGGGAACCAAATTCCAAGATATTTGTAGAGATTAATTTGTCAGGCACACTCAACAGCTGTTGCTGTATATACCAGTGATTCACTATGATCAAGCAGATGGCTTTCAAGGTGACTGAGAATATATCCCTCCTAGCGCCTAAGAGCACAATGCTAATGGCAGCCTTGCCACTGGAATAGCTAGTAGTTTTTATGAGAATTAAGACACAATTACCCAGCCAAAAAGTAAGGAAGAAGGATTTTAAGTGCCTGGTCCAGGCAATAAATAAATGTAGCTTCAAGGTAAATTTTAAGCAGCAAATCAGAAGTATCTGCCTGTTTTTACAACACCTTTGCTGTTCTGGGCTGAAATAAACTACATCATACAGTATTTTTCTTCTTTGACAGATTCCTTTTGGAATTTAACATTTTTAGTTTCTGGCATGTGGATAACTTGGCTGATGGTGAGTAGCAGGATTACTGTAAGTACATAGCAGCCACATCGTTTGGATGAAAAAGTTATAAATAATGCATTTTGGAAAGCCTGAAAAAATTGTCCCTTGTTAGTATTAAGAATATTACATTTGGATTCCATTCATCTCATTTTGACCCTGGCATTAATTTGGCAAGGAGTAATAGCATTGATTACTGTGATACCTTGGATACATAGTCTGTAGTAGGCTGTCACAGAAGATAGGCAGAAGACTAATGAAAATTGTCAATGAAACTGTTCATTCTTTCCAATTTGCTGAGGTATTTTAGTTGGAATACATGAGGGAATATTAATAGTGGACACCAAAAAAACCTAAATCAGAAGTATGCTAACATAAGACCTTGGCTTAAGTTCTCATGGCTCATAGTTTATTAAAATTATGAAAACAGTTAACTTTATTTTTTTCTTTTTAAAGAATAAAGTTCTAGTCTTGGTGACTATAGATTGTGCATAATGACAAAGCAAATCAGATGAGTTGAAAAAAGAGAGAAGAAGAATTTCTTAAAATATATCCTGAATTTCCGAAATGTTATTACTATTAAGTACATTTTTAAAAAAACCTGCATTAACAATATCAAAAAAGCACCACACCACATGTGTCATAAATACATACATTACCCCATATCTTGACTATCATCAAATTAACCATATGAATTGTGCCTAAGATAGTTACAAAGAAGGAAAGTGAGAGAGATAGGCAGAGAGAACACAGACAGATTGTTTATATATTTATTTTCAAATAAATAAATTGATACCAGTTCAAATGCAAAAGTTAAAACTGGAAAATAAAACAGTGTAATGAGATCAGTGTTTGTGTAAACCTTTCATAATCAGTCATGGCAAGAGTGGTGGAACAATCTTCATTTTAATTGTTTAACCGTTTTTCAAAATCTAAGCAAGGTTGAGGCTTATTTAGGTCAGAGGAGGCTAACAGTGCTAAGAAATGCTTTATATAATTTCCTGTACTGGTTGTTATCCAGTTTAAAAAAGAGTCCAATTCCCAGCATGGAGATGTTGCAGTACTCTGATGTAAATCAAGCAATATGAGACCCAAACTCAGTGGTAGCCTCAAGCAAGGACACACATTCAATTTCACAGCTACTAAGATTGTGGGCTGAGCAGGTACAAAGATAGCCAGGGAAATGATTGAAGCCTGGGAACCAAGCCCCATGTTAGTCAACAGGAGTGCTGATTTAGCACCAGATTATCAGGTATTTAGGAGCCGAGGACTTTGAAGCAGAAGGAAACAACAGTCAATGGGGAAAAAAGCATACATTCTGGTGAGAGAGAAGTTCTCTGAGGATGGGCTCCAGCACAAGTTTGAAAGCTTGGAAGACTAAGCCTCTGGTCCCGGTGACTTACCCAGATTGGATCCTGCAAGTTTGAGGCTGCCTGAATCGCCACAGGAATAATTTCCCACAGATTGGGGATTGCCAGCATAAAGACCTGGAATGCCTAGGAATGACTCAGGGAGAGAAGGCCCTCAACAGAAGCTTTCTATATAATCAGACCAAGTGGACACCTTCACTTTTTGCAATGCAATCCTGGATGTATCCCAGTACTCCATGTAGGGCTTAAAAGGTAACGACATATACTTAGAATTGGGCCCAGAAACCTACTTCAAAGTGCTGGTCATCACCTTTAAAACTTTTATAGCACAGCATTGGGATACCTCAAATACAATAGTTGTGACCTTGTATAGCTTTAACCACCATACTTTCATATCATTTCTTTCTTTCTTCTTCATTTTCCATCTACCTCCCCCCCCCCCTTTCATGTTTCTTCACAATAACGTTGTGCCATCATCTTCTGGACATGTTATGATGGACTCATTTTCATCATTTCTTACGCCATGTGAACAATACAGCCAAATCCGTTTTTCATCATGGTAAGTAATGTTGTCATACAAAGAGTTTTGTCTTCTGAGACAGAAGAAGATTTGCATAAGATTGAACAACAAAGTTCATAATATCACAATTTATGCATATTCCAGTTGTGTCTTTCAAGATGAAACAGGAATATAACTTTCTACTTGATTATCAGGCCACAATTCAATGGAAGATAAATTTTTTTTTTCATGTTTTCTTGTCCAGCTTGATAGCTGCATAACTATAGCTGCATAACATATGCATGACATATATAGATGCAGCTAGTGCAATATATATGGCAGAATAAAAAATGCGAAAACTGAAGAGTAAGGATTCTTTTATATATTGCTAAGATGAATCTTCCACTCATTCTTCTAAGTCTTCCATCTTAACCTCTATCCTTTTTTCAGATCTGAAAAAAAGGAAAGTATTTTCTTCATGGCTTTCCTATAGCTATAGTCATTCAGTTTTTGCATTTTTTTAAAAATTATGTTCACTATTTGAAGTGACAATGGACCCAAAAAGATAGTTACAATCTGGATTCAAAGTTGTGATAACTGTCCTCCCCAGTCATGTGATTGCAGTTTGGGCACTCAGCAACTGGTCTGTGTTTACAACCATTTGCAGTGTCCACAATTTACATATTTTGCCAGAAAACATTTACTTCTGGTAAAAATAGCAATAGCAATAGCACTTAGACTTATATACTGCTTCATAGTTCTTTACAGCCCTCTCTAAGTGGTTTAAAGAGTCAGCATATTGTCCCCAACAATCTGGGTCTTCGTTTTACTGACCTCGGAACGATGGAAGGCTGAGTCAACCTTGAGCCAGTCAGGATCGAACTGCCAGCAGCCAGCAGTCGGCAGAAGTAGCCTGCAGTACTGCATTTTAACCACTGTGCCACCATTGCACCCATTGCAGACAATGGGTTTGCTTAACAACCATAGGTCCACTCACAACCATCACAAAAATGTCAATCATATGATGAGTCACTTAATAATTTACAACCATAAGTCCAGGCTCAATTACTTCTATATGAATATATGGCTCTGCTATCAGCCCTTCAGGGTAGACCAGATCAATAAACAGAGTAGAACTAAACTTTATTGAGATAAGCTATAATAGCAGAATCTTCCAAGCCTGATAGTGTTTTGCCTCCCCTTCCTTTGTATGTCCCAATGAATTAGAGAGGAGTTGCCTGAGTCTTTTCTGAATACTATCTTGCTTCCCAGGGCTTCAGGATGTTTCAGCCCTCTTTCCTTATGTAACAATTCTTGCCTGTTTTAGAATAGAATAGAACTGGAAGGGACCTTGGAGGTCTTGTCCAGCCCTCTGCTCAAGCAGGAGAAGCTGTAGTACCATTTCAGACAATTTCCCTCAAGGTCCTCTCTCTAATGCAGTGGTTCTCAACCTTTTTAATGCCACGACCCCCAACCGGTCGTAAGTCGAGGACTACTCAACCAGTCGTAAATCGAGGACTACTCAACTGGTGCAGCACCGTTTGCAGAATGGGACTTTTGGCGGGCTCAGCAGGGCAGAGACAGCCTGGACAATTCCTATTGGCTTTTGAAAGCCAATAGAATTAGACCCTATTCAAGAGAGTCTATTCTACTGGCTTTCAAAAGCCAATAGAATAAAAGGGAGTAGCACAGCTAAAGAGAAGGGGGAAAAAATGGTAGACTGTGTTGTTTGGCGACCCCCGTGAAATGGTCGTTCGACCCCAAATGGGGTCCCGACCCACAGGTTGAGAATCACTGCTCTAATGCCAGTGAATTTGATCATTGAATAGATAGCATATTGAAATAGAATTCTTTATTGGCCAAGTGGGATTGGACACAAAAGGAATTTGTCTCCAGTGCATAAGTGTACATACAAACAACAAGTGATAAATCATAACCATAAAATACAATCATTATAAATCATAAGATGCAAACTCAGTAATAGTCATAGGATACTAAATAAAGGCAATCAACATAAATCATGAGATACAAACAACAAAGTTATAATCATACTAAAATGTTATTTTTATGTTTGGTGCTTTTTTTTTTTTTTTACTTTTATTCACTACACAGAGTGGAGCTTGGCGGCCAATACATTTCAATAGATAACAACATTTGTGCTATTTTGAGGGGTCATTAGTGACAGGGGTAAATACTAGCAGTGTTTTCCTCCAGCAAGAAGAAGGCACTAAGCAAGCAATTTTATTTATGTAGATTGCCATATATTTGCAAATGTTAGTTCTGCCACTGCTATTCTTAAATAAGCATTGCACTTCGACTGAGACTGACTGATGCCCTGTTGGATCAATGATTTTTCCCTCCTGGCAACCAGGTTATGTATTAACTGAACTATCCCTTTATCTGATCAACTCACATCCCCCTTCAAGGTATCCCACTGACCTCAGGTGATTGACATCCCACGCAACTAAAAGATTATTGGCTTCTTGGTTAGATTAGTCTGTAATAAAACACTGCATTTGAGTCAAAAGGAATTCCTTTTCAAAGCAAGAACAAAAATTGCTTATCCTTCTCCTCCCAGTACATACATGGGAAGTTTTCATTACAAAGGAGCAAGTTAAATTAAATGTTATCTCTTTTTCTCATCCTAGAAATAGAAATTTTGAGTGGGGGGAGGGTCGCTTTGTTAAGTTTATTACTGAAATTAATTTTAGTAAGAATATGAGCAGTGACTTGGCATTATAGCTGTATTGCCTTTCCTCGTATTTTGGCTGTTTGGATTAAGATAAAAGTTCCCATTGTTATGCTGGTCCCATGGAATCTACAGCTGAAAACAAGCTTAATGAGTCACTTGGCATTTCTCTCTTGCAATCTCTATTGTATTAGATAGATTTGTCCAAACCATGTTCATTTCATTTATTTCAGTAAGGCGTATGCCAAAGAATGGCCAGATGCACTGAGCCTTGCATGAATTATTGCACCAATTTATTTAAATCTACCTGAGGGGGGGAGGGGGGGTGTTAGACATGCAATTGTCCCTTTAAGAACAGACATTTGTGGAGAATTATAAAAGTCTTTTCCTGCTCCTTTCCTCCTCCCTTTTAGCAGAGTTGGACAGTCACTCTCAAAATTTTTCACTTGTCTAGAAAAGTCTCTTTTTCTGAAGATTTTAGCACAAGATTTAATTGTACCACAAGTCTTAAAGTCTTAAAGGGAGATTAGCATCATACATTCAAGACATCCTCAATCATTTGCTCATCAGCAGCATCTAGTGGCCACTGATGTCCATGCATTTTGTTTCTCCACATTTTTCACTTCTCCTTGTGCCTGGTTTTCTCCCCCTGACTCAGTTATTTTTCCCATTCTAGCTCACAGACATAAGAAACACGATGCACTGCAACCCTGTGACACTGAATATCCGGTGTTTGTGTACGAGCCTGCTATTGAAGAGGCCAATGGACTAATTGACTGCGGAGCCTGTCAGAAGTAAGAGAATGCTCATTAGCTGTGCCTCTCAAGGGCAATCAAGAATTTTGCCCCCTTTCCTCCCATCCATATACATTGCTTGTTATTGCAAGCACTAAAAAAGCAAAATAATAAATCCTGGTTAAGATCCTGACTATTACCTTCTACATACACCTGGCACTTAAGTTCAGCTAGAGAAGTCATCACCCTGTGCTTCCCTCATTAGATGGGTAATACCTGGAGACAGGTCTTCTTTCTGGTTCCTAACACTGGGTAGAAGGAAGAGAGAATGACCTTGAAGGACAGGAGGAAGAGCCACTACCAAGGCCTTATGGAACATTCTCCCTCCAGAGATCAGGATGACCCCAGCCCTGCTGACTTTCCATAAGTCCTTAAAGACCTAGCTTTGTGCCTGCAGCTAGAGCCCCAAGTTTGTGCAGGGACCCATTTTGTGGTTAATTTAATCATTATGATGGCTACTTATTCTTGGCTACCACTTATCTGCATATATTAATTTAACTGTTTTTATATTTTATTTTATTTTTTGCTGTCCAGAGTAAGATGGGTAGCCATACAAAATAGGGAAGAAGGGAAGAAGGGGAGGGAGAGGAGATTAGATGGATGATAGATGATGATAGATAGATGATAAATGATAGAAGATGTTAGACAGACAGACAGACACAATAAAAGAGGCTTGAACCTGGGCCAAGAAAGTAACTTGAGAAAATGTCTCAGAGAAGAAGCCTTTCCTCTTTCACATAAAGGGAGGAAGCATATTCAGCTTGCAAGCTATCTTCAATTGTTATTATATCTGTCCCAATAAAAGTAGTCCTGACATTCATGGAATTGGTTACATATGGTTTCATAGTCTGGTCTACTTTGTAGGGCTGACACATTGGAACTCTTTCTTTTTAGAATCAGATGAAACATTGTTCAGGTCTTTTAATTCTGTGGGGCTTGTTGCAGATAAAAATCTCAGTAACTCTGTTCTTGTATAACAAACACAATCTTTTCCATTCTCATAAGAACAAGTCTAATCCATCTGGCAATTATTGTATTTTGTGAGCCTGTTTATTCTGACAGTGGGTTGTGCAGCACTCAATACCACTATAGGATGGGGGACATAAAAGTAAACAAGACTGGATAAACATAAATATTTTTAACTTTAAAATAACACTTAGAAAAACATGATAATTTTTTTCTCATTGGTAGTGTTATTACAGATAGTTCTTGCTTAACAACATTAATTGAGACTGGAAAATCTATCATTAAGCAATTCATTCCTAAGTAAAAAAAAAAAAAAACTACAGGACTGCACTGCTGAACAATGGCAGTCCCACTTGCTGTGATTAGGACTGCACTGGTTGTTAAGCAAGGACTTCATATGATTTCAACTTGTGGCTTCCCACTATGCAGTGGTTATAGGAGCCCATCAAAAACATTAAACAGAAAAATTACTGAAAATTGCAGGAAGAGGATTTGCTACATTCTGTTTACATTTATAGACATCAGATACAAATCACAATGATGAATATCAAGAACAAAATGTGCATTATGACATCACAAGATACACCTGGCTTTTGTTCTTGTGACTCATCAACAGATGTCAATGCGCATGTTATGAAGTTTGAGTTGCAACATCATAACCCAACTTTCATCCTCCATCAAGATGCTGTGAACTAATGATTACTGTTCTTGGGAGAGAAAAGTAAAGAGCAACATATCAGGGACAAAAGCATGTGAGGTATGATGAATGAAAGTGAGAGAGAAGATTCCTGATAATTTCTGAATACCCACTTTAGCAAAAACAAAAGCCTGAACCCAATATGATGCAGCTGCCAAAAAGGCTAATGAACAGGCTCACATATAGACACACAAACACAAATGCCTAATGGAAGGAGCTGCCTAATACTGGTAGTCCTCGACTTATGACTGTAATTGACCCTGATTGTAAAGCGGGTCACCCATGTGACCAACCCAATTTTACAACCCTTTCTGAAGCAGTTGTTACATAACCACCACAATTTTTAAGCAAACACCACAATCATTAAGCAAACCCATTGTTATGAGCCAATTTTGCTAAAATCTGGAAGCAGATGCCGGGTTTTGGCAAAAAACATCATAAAACCCAGTTACATGACCACAGGATGCTGCAAACAGCCCTAAATGCAGGCCCCTTGCCAAGTGCCCAGATGTGATCATATGACACAAGGCGGAAGCAGCCATCAGAACTTTGGAACCAGGATTCCCTTTGGGGGAGTCCATCGGAATTTTTAACAATCGCTAAGCAACTGGTTGTATCTCAAAAACTGCCTGTAGTTGTAGTGGCTACTTTGACACTGTTGTTGTTGGGGTCTTTTTGACCAGAGTGTTTAATAAGCGGCTTGAGAACCCTCCATGAGGCTTCTTGTAACTGCATCCTATGTTCAGACTGGCATTCTGTCAAAGAACCTCCATGATCCTTGCAGCTCCATAACCTATGATGGCACTGATGTATGAAACGAACTGTCTGAAACACGGTAGCCCTGAGTTGATGTATTGTCACTGCTGCTAGAAAACTAGTATATAGATACTGGTTTTAGAAAATGCAGGCAATTCACATTAAGTTACCAACTCAATACTGTTTGCAGGATGGTCTTCAGAAAAAACCCGTGCATATGAAAACTTAAATGAAACTTCCACCAATATGCTGATACAAAGAGGGAATCTTTGGTAGCAATTAATATTAAAGCTAGAAGTCTCCCTTCCTCTAGATTTTGGCACATGATTCAATTGTACCTATAAATTGCCAGTAGAGGGCAGCAGAGCACTGTGGCTGCCTTGAGGCGACTTATCAATTACCTCTTAACTTTATATGTCAACCAAGCTCCTGGGCCACATTATATGAGAAAGAATTTTATAGAAATCAAATAAAGATAAGTCAATGTAATAAGGCATTTAGTTATCCCTTTACAACTGCTCAACCTCCAACTTCACTCGAAACTATTTATTATACATTCCTCCCCAAAGACTAGAAAACAGAGCTCCGGGATCCAATATTTCATCCCCTTCTTTTCACTTTCCTTACTTTGAGATACACTGGGGGTCCAAGGTATTCTTTATAGATGAGAGGAAACTGGTGAAGTCAATTTCATAATTGACTAGGTTAGGCAGCCAGTCAGCTACTTTATCTTAAAAGCAAAATGAAGCTACATCTCTGACTTCATAGTTTAAAGTGATGTTGCAGCGGTAGTTTTGCTTTTCTGTGGCCGTGTTCCCATGACCCCCAACCCCAATCAATGGGAGGACAACATGTTATGGGAAACCAAAAGTGGGGCCAATTTATCTAATAAGGGCTGTCAAAATCTACAAGAATTTTGCAGAATAGCAACAAGATCATTATATATTTTGGAGGGACATCTATGCCTGTACAAAAGGGGCTGGGCTTGGAATGCAATGCCAGTCATCACTTGTAAATTATAACATGGCCTCTTTTAAATTAGTAATAAGATAATTGGATCTATTCCAAACTAGGGTTCTCTTCATTGCTTTGGAAGGATCTAGTCTAGGGGTGTCCAACCTTTGCAACTTTTAAGATTTGCGGACAGCAACTCCCAGAACTGAATTGTTGAAGACATGTTTGTTGAACTTTATAGAGGGTGGAAAGTTATTAAATTGGTTTATATTGTTATGATGAAGGTTGGAAGTCGCTTCCTGATATATTTTCTTTTTAATTATATACTCTTTTTTCTTTTTCCTTACACTTTCTATTCTTTCCATTGTCTTCTCTTTCTCAAAAGTTCACTTTGTATTAGTTTTTATTATTGCAATTAAAATTCTTAATAGAAATAATATTTGGGGGGGAAATAACATCGTCTCTGGGGATGGATGTCCTTCTCAATCTTGCAGGATGTTTTTGGTGCAGCAAATTATGAAGAGCAACCTTCTGCTCCTGGTAACTGATGCCACCTGTGATTGCAGCATCTTCCCATCTTTTGCACTGCAAGCAAAAGAAGTGAAATATATCTTTTCCCTAGCAATGGTTGTACTGGATTGTAATTCTTTGGCAGTTTATTAGCACAAATGAAGTACGAATCTAGCATTTTCCTTCATAACTATAGAAGGGATTAATAGAGCATGCTTCTATTTAAATGTGGAGTGAAAACAATATTGTTAAAAAATGAAGTCGAAACAGTACTATATTGCTAGTTGCTATTTACAATTATTTATTATTATTTTATACCCTTTAGGCAAAGTAAAATGTGTGCGCTTTTCTACAATCTATAAATCTTTTTTATGAAGATAAGCAGAAAACATAAGTCTTGCTGTTTTCCAAATTCTCTTTTAAAATGTAATTTTAGGAGTCTGTGCCTCTAATTTTCAGTGGAGATATAGAAGAACAGAAGGACTATTAGAAACTACAACAATAAAAGCAAGATACTTTTGATTTCATCTCCAGTGCTATTGGCTGCTATTGCTGCAGATTTGACGGTTTACTCTAAATCATTATTTAGAGTATTCAATTAACCCACATTTCTGGATCCACATGATATACTATAGACTGACTCCCATGTTCTTAACCGTTGGTCCAGAAATCTATAAGTATCTATAATACTATAAAGCCCTGGTGCAGCTGCTAAAATGAACATATTACCAATTTTACCTAGAAGCTGCAGGGAAGTTAGCAGAACCAATAGGCCAATGATAAAAAAGCCTCTTTTGAGTTAGATTCAGCTCCTGCCAACTACTTCATACACACATGCATTAAGTTTTCTTGACAGTCATATAGAATTGGTCATTGCTTATTCTAGGATTCTCCAGTAGTCTCCCATTTCAACCTTGCTTAGCCTTCAAACTTTAACTTCCAAGTTCAGATCTCACCTGCTTAGGATAACTTGGAAATGTTCACCCTGAATCAGCATGTTGGTGAGAAAAGATAGAACTCATGCAGAAATAAGAAATATATCTAGTGAAACATTACATTTGGACTTTTGCTGATAAGCTTTAGTTCAGCACAGAGAGGAAAACCACTTACAGACTGTGTTCCAAGATTAGACGAAAGCCCTTGCTTTCAATAGATTCAGCCTGCTGCCCATCTAGGAAAGCTCCCAAGGTGTGCAGCTCCCCAAGGTAGCTACAATCCCAACTAAAAGCCATAACAAATAAAGTGGGCCATATTAGCTATAGTGAAGTCCTGTCAGTTTCAACATGAGCCGAGGTGGCGCAGCAGTTAGAGTGCAGTACTGCAGGCCACTTTAGCTGACTGTGTTCAGCAGGTCAGCGGTTCAAATCTCACCGGCTCAAGGTTGACACAGTCTTCCATCCTTCCGAGGTAGGTAAAATGAGGACCCAGATTGTTGGGGGCAATGTAAATATATACATACATACTGGTGTACACCACTTAGAGAGTGTTTGCACTTAAAAGCGGTATAAGTCTCATTCATTCATTCATTCATAAATAAATAAATAAATAAATTTGAGGGTAGTTTGTGTTAAAACATGCCCACAAATTCCAGTTCATCTCAACTGAAACTCCCAACATGGGTGGTAGAAACGTTTAGGAAATCTCCTGCCTGTGTCAAGACTTTGTGTGTAGGCTTATCCCATTGCTGAAATATTATCCATGTGGGCTGAAGCATCCTGCTTAGCTTGAGCATCAGGAAATGCTATGTATGCAATGGAAATACATTGCTGTAGGCCTGCCAGTATTTTTAGTTGCAAATTTAAATTATTGGCCAGCACAGCATCCGCCTGACTCTAGATATTTTAAGTAAGATGTCCTTATTTCTCCATTTCCAAACACTGCTATTAGCCTTAACAGCTGTGTACACAACAGTTCAGTGAAATGCGACAGGATGCGCTCTCAGAAACTAAGACGCCGACCAGACACCTGCCATGCATTCCATCCAGAGGTAAGATCTGTTATCCATAGCTTTCAGTCACAGAATAATTTGCAGAAATTATAGAATTAGATGTATAACAATACGATTGTAACCATAAGGGTCTGCCTCATTTTCCATGGAGCCAATCCTACTCTACTGCCGTACTAGGGTTGCTGAGCACCCGCTGGCCTTCTCTTTTTCAGGAAAATGCCCAAGATTGTGGAGGAGCTGCAGCAATTTCAGCCTCATCAATCTTGCTCCTGTTTCTGCTGTCAACAACAGCTCTTCTTCTGCGGTGACAAAGTGCACTGCAGTCCTTACCTTCAGCCTGGGCTGCTATTTTCACATGGATCTCAAACAGAACTTGACCTCATTATTTTTGAAGGACTTCCTAACTCTACATTGTATTTACAAGTGATACAGAAGAGAGATAATAACTATGAGACAAAGCTAACAACTGACTCTTTCCATCTCTACAGTACAGAGATGTCCATCTAAGGCAGGAATAGGCAACCTTGGCTCTTTTATGACTCGTGGACTTCAACTCCCAGAATTCCTGAGCCAGCCAAGGTTGCCTACCCCTGATCTAAAGGTAGTGTTGGGTAAATGATGTTTATTAGATTTTTGTCTTAGCGTATAACGTATAGACTGTAATGAATTAGCTTTCTCCACCTGGAGAAAGATGCTATCTACTGGATTTAAGCCTCTAATACAGGTAGTCCTCAAGTTATGATCATGATGGAGCTCGCCCATCAGTCGTAACTCATGACAGACATAAAGCAGGTTGGTCAAATAACCAATCCAATATTATGACCTTTTCCGCAACAGTCTAACACTGCAGTTGTTAAGTGGATCAAGGGTTCACTATGGGCTGGTTTTTCAGAAAACTGGGATGCCCATTTTCAGCAAAACCATTGTAATCCATAATCCACTTGACCACATTGACTCTGTGAATTGCCATAAATGCAGGCCAGCTGCGGTCATATGTGACCACGTGGGGGAGCAACCATTGGAATTTTGAACCTGGGTTGCAAGTTCTCCCCAAGTAGGTCCATCGGAATTTCTGTTGTTAAGTGACCAGTCGTTGAGGACTACCTTTTGCTTGGTTAAATAATTTTAAATGTTTGGACAAAACTGGTGAGAAATATCAGAATTGATTTTTTTTTCTCCAAAATTGAACTTTGGCATGAGGACAGGTCAGGGATGTGTTCTGGAATTTTTTAACTCTTGCAATTTTCAGCCAGAGTTATGTCTTTTACATTAAACACTTGAACATTTTATAGAATTATGATTCCCTGTGTAAATTACAGAAATAAGTATCAGACTGAACTTACAAATTAAGACACTCGATTTGGCAATGACAATGTTTTCAAAAATGATTTTGGAAAAAAAACCGTGGACATTAGGCTGCTGCCTAGGTTTAATGAGATATTAGATGATATTGTTGCTTCCAGCCAGCCACTTTATGCCAAAGATTTATTTTCCCTTTCAGACAAACGCTTCCTCATTGGTAAGACTGCATAATAAATTCTTTAAGTTATTAAGGGCATGATGCACATCTAAGAGGATGCATTCCTGAGATGTAGAAATTATCTCTACTTTTGGAAGCTGTTTTTCTTTGTGAAAGAAACTATGGGCAATTTCATGCTCGCTTGAGAGTTTATAGATTTCACCCTTAGGAATTTAAGTACCAGATTGTTATACAACAAAAAACTTGACATTTTTACTGTATGAGACTCAAAATAGAAGTTAGATTAACTCAACATGAATGATCAGAAATGATCATCTTACAAAGCACCGTCAGGATGGCTAGGAGTTCATAAAGTTGAAAGAGGCTATTTACACTATCAAATCCAACCTTATCCTCAGTCCTAGAATCCAATTTTATTGACTAATACATACACAAAAGAAATTTGTGATAGGTTGTTTTGTTTTGCTTCCACACCACATCCTTTTCCCCATATAGTATTTGCACTGTATATTGCATAGTCATGTTGACAAGCACAAAGGATTATTTTTACGTTGATGCTGAAGCAACCACAAATTGGACTATTTATTAATGTGTAAAGATGTAATAAAACATTTTCAATACTTAACAGCAGGCATCGAAAATTAGAGGATACCAAGATTGCATCTAAAAATATACTGCTCAAAAAAATAAAGGGAACACAAACATATAGGATCCTATATGTTTGTGTTCCCTTTATTTTTTTGAGCAGTATATATTAAAGCAGCACTAACAATTAAACTATTAAGTCTGACTGGCATGTTTTGTCATTTTTTTCTTCATGTGGCCTAAATTTTACCCTTCAATTGTTAAGAACATTTTAATATTGCTGGACACCAGTTCTAGAATTAAGGTAAGGAATGATCAATCAGTAGTAACAGTATTTGACAAGAAAAAGAGCCAGGAGAAGCATAAAGGGAGATAGATGGTCCATGACTGTGGACTTCAAATCACCAACTTAAGTCTTTTTTCAGAGAACCTAGATACAAGCAATTTCTCCTCTATTGCCATAGACAAATAGATTTTGGAAATGTTATTTTCATGAAGGTACAGTTCCTTCTGTTTTAGACTATTTAAACAGAAAGATAAAGCTCTCCATAACACATCAATTGACCTTGGCATATGCACACATCAGGCTAATTTGTCATCCTTCCACAGAATGCCATCCTCCTTTAAGGCGATCTGTCCTAATGCATCTGTTCTTCCAATTCCAAGCCAAATATAGTTTTGGCACCGTTTCTTTTTTAATCTCTGAAAAAACTATATCATAGAATCAAGCTTATGAATCCAACTCTCCTGTGCAGACACCACTCATATTTTTAAAATGTTACTGTAACATCATTCATTTATTTTTGTTTGTTTATTGCCCAAGAGGCAGCTTGACAAACTTCAGAGTAGATAAAAATAGTTCTACAGACTAGTTTTAAAATCTTCAGAAAAGCAAGTGATGCACAGGTCTCAACAACACCTAAATGGTCATATTAGGAAGACAACAATTATTTTAACCTGGTGTTCTAAAAAGAAGGGAAGAAAGATACAAAACACAGTCTAAATAAAACACATGGCTTTCTTGAAAAAATTAAAAGGTAGTCAATACTTGTTTAATTTCAAGTTAATATGGTTTCTGTGATGAGCTGCTGTGATGTGGCTGAGCATTCAGATTTTTTCAGCTCAGGTTGCTAACGGTGTCATATATAAAAAATCCTACGTGGTGGAAAACCTATCCTAAAATTTTCAGTATTCACCCTCGATATTAAACCAACCATTCAACAGATCTGATTAAATTACCTGATACATTCCGGTAGTCCTTGATTTATGACGATTTGTTTGATGGGTCAGTTAGGATGGCCTTGGAAAAAATGGCATACGATCCCTACTCGCACTTATAACTGTCACACCACGCTCGCAGTCACATGATCGCAATTTGGGCACTTGGCAACCAGCTCACGTTCACCAGTTGCAACATCCCGCAGTCATGCGTTCACAATTTGCAACCTTTTTTTGCCGGTTTCCAGCAAAAAATGCTCATTAGGGTAGCTGGATTCATTTAATAACCACTATAAAAATTGTCACAAAATTGCAACAACTCACGATAAAAATTCAGGTCCCAACTGAGGTCATACGTCAAGGACTACCTACCTGGGGGTGTATGTGAGTATTAAATTACAAATGCAGTTACCTCTTATAAATTTATACTGAAAAGACAACAACAACAATAAAAGCAAAAATCCAAACCTGTTTTACATTTGTTCTTTTTATTAGAAGTTAAGAATACAACAAGTAATGGGACCCCATTGGCTGAAGACCCCCCTCCCCCAATCTTCAAAATCCAAGATGTGCTTTGTTGCCTTCAACAGTGAGCAATTAGAAACGAAAAGAAAATACTGAACAAGGCCACTAGTTAATGGGGGGAGCTGTATATCTCAACTACGCTATGCTGAACCCTGCACACATCGAAAGAAAGCAAGCAAACCTCCAGTTGCTGAGAGTAAGGCATTCAGGTGCCAACCTGGGAGGAAGTCTCAGCAAGCACCACAGAAAAAGTGCAGAGCTATGCAGTTTTCATATTGGAACACAAAATATCTTCAACAGGAAGATAGTAAAGACAGCAAAATGGTGCATTGTATTCTGTACAGGTCCTGTGCTGTTAGACTGGATTGCAAGGGCCACATTCAGAGTTAGCATGGGGTAATCCAGAGTAGGGAGATATAGTCTCTGCTGGTATATACAGAGATACACCTCTAAAAGTGCTTCTCAAACAGGTAAGTCTGGGTGTGATATGTATTACCACTTCCCCACCTTAGGTAAACTGTCCTTTTATCAGCTGACTCCATAGACACAAAACTCCGACGTTTCTCCTAGGTGGTCTCCCAGTTTGGTTGAAGGGATTCAGTTAATACTGTTCTGTTTTCAGTCTGGGATCAACGCACTGAAATATATTAGGCTGCGATTTTTACCTATATGTATTTAGTATCATGATCCTATCCAGAACACATTTGCATCTGAATTTGCCTACAAGAACCAGTTAAGCACCTCCTGCAGGTTTAAATACTTAGAGGAATTCATTTCAGAAGAAGAGCTAAGGCAGTGTTTCTCAACCTTGACAATTTTAAGGCATGTGGACTTCAACTCCCAGAATTCCACAGCCAGCAACGCTGGCTGTGGAATTCTGGGAGTTGAAGTCCACATGCCTTAAAATTGTCAAGGTTGAGAAACACTGAGCTAAGGGGAAGACCAAGGATTTCTTTATAAAAATGTAACATTTTAAAAACGTAACCAATTATGTTGCCCCACAATCGATCCTCGATAACTCACTACAGGCTAAATTATCTGTGAGACAAATGGCTAATCTATTAATTCTGCATTTTGCTCAGATGATTCTTTCTAGATTCAATATTGCTCACCAGCAATCAGCCTATTTCTTCTCACTTGCCATGTTGGCTGTTTAGTGGTGTCGTTAACTCTCTTCTCTTCGAATACTCCTGGCCTCATACATTTCAATTGGAAACATTTGAAAGCGCTCACAACTTTCTCTCGGCACAAAGCAGTACTTTAACAAGCAGAGGAAAGTCTATCCTGTGGTTTGTTTGCTTTTTACTTATTAAAAATAGTGCACAGTATTGTCCTAAACCCCAGGAGAAAGAGGAAAAAGAATGGCAGTGTTACTATTGCAGCCTGCAGAGTCCAGTGAATTTAATACAGACAACTGTAGTGTTACTGTCACTCAGCAACACACACACACACACACACACACACACACACACCAGAACGGATTAACACATAGACAGCCAGTCCTCTTCTTAGAAAAACAAAAACAAAATTGCTTTCTTATGTGTACTTCCCATCCCTCTTGAGACCATTTCCACCCTGGGCAGGTCACCTGGAAGGTTGGTACCCAACATTAACAATTGCACTTGGATAAACAAGACAGCACACCCAAAAGAATGGTGAAACACTGATGAGAGACCCCAAAAGGTCAGGATATATGCCACATTGTGCCTTAAGCCAGTGGTTCTCAACCTGTGGGTCGGGACCCCATTTGGGGTCGAACGACCATTTCACGGGGGTCGCCAAACAAGACTGTCCGCCATTTTCCCCCCTTTTCTTTAGCCACGCCCCTGGCATCCGGTGATGTATAAGTGGTTGGGGGTCACCACAACATGGGGAACTGTATTATGGGGTCGCGACATTAGAAAGATTGAGAACCACTGCCTTAAGCCATCAAACCCCAGTGCAGCAAAAGGCCAATGAAGGAACCTTAACAGACCACCCCAGAAGAGAGCTTAGAAGGCAACGGCCTTGGCGCCTTTTCCCTTTGCTTTCTGAACAGGCCGATCGGTAAGCGCTTCTTTGCTTTCGGGCCTTGTGGGCGGCGGATTGGGTCCACTGGATCGAGCCAATCAGTATACACCAGAATTAGGAAGAATCTCTAGGACCCAGATGCCTGATTTCAGGAGTTTCACCTAGCTTTCTTGCACTTTTTAAGAATTTGTGCAAAATAGAAACAGTGTGTGGTACTTGCATGTTGCAACCAATACAAAATCCATCTCCCTCCCCCCTTTTAAAACATTTATAGAAAGTTTTTAATCAAACAGAAAGTTAGAAATCTTATTTACATTTTTTTCTCCCAAAAGGGCATCTAAAAATCAACTTACCTGAACAAGTTACAAATCTTAATTAAGCTAGATTTAAAAAAAGAAAAGAAAAAAATTGCCAAGCTTTTCCCCAAGATAACCTCTCTTATTTTCTACAAATAAATATGGCATTGAACATAAGCTGATTAAGAAAGGGTTTTTTTTTTCTTGCTTCAGTTGCAGATCTCAGGAATAAGTTAAGATTTAAGAATGTTCATGTCTTCAGAACCAATTCACTCCATTGTTTGAGGTATGAATTTTTCTCCCATCTTATACTTAAGATTCCCTGCAAAACTTCCCCACCATTGTAGGCGAAGTGTGGATCGACTGCTCCCATGGTTCAGTTTTGGTTATGATCCTCAACGGGGGGACGGGTTTTACTGCATCTCGTTCTCTGAGCAGCCTCCCCCAAGGGTGAAACGGAACTCTTGAAGATTTGAAACGCCATGGAAGTGCACAAAAGCACCGGCCACTACGAAAATATGAAAGAGCTGATGGGAGTGGAACTGCAGGAGAGGGAGAAAAAAACACATACACAAAAGAGAGAAAGACAAGTGTAAGATTAGAAAATGAAGAATTTTTTTCAGAACAAGCACCAAATAATAACAGCAGTCTTACAAGCTCCTAGAACAGTGATGGCGAACCTTTTAGAGACCAAGTGCCCAAACCACAACCCAAAACCTACTTATTTATCACAAAGTGCCAGGGCCGCATCAGCACTGTGGCCTCGGGTGGCATGGGGGCATAGCCCATTGGGTGGGTGTGGCTGTGGTTGTCACGGCAGACTGGGGGGCGTGTCTGGGGTGGGCATGGCCTTGATGTTGCTCATGGGGGAGATGCCTTTGGGGGCCGGGCCGGGTTGGGGTAGATCCAAGGGGTCTCTGGTGGGTGGGATGGTGGGCAGGAGGCCCAGCATAGATGGGGGGAGGCACGCAATCCTAGCTGGGACTGGGGGGCCATGGCACCGATGGGGATCTGGCTTTCCCTGCTCAGGGTGGCCTTTGGTTTGCTGGGTGTGGGTGTGCTCTACCAACTCTACTTGAGCTTGCTAGCTAGCTGCTTTGCCTCCTTTGTGCTGGGTGGGGCTGCTGCTCGGGGCAGCAGTGGCGGCCTAATGGACCTGCGCAAGTTGCTGGCAATGGCGGCGCGTGTGCCCACAGAGAGGGCTCTGAGTGCCACCTCTGGCACGCGTGCCATAGGTTCGCCACCACTGTCCTAGAAACAGGACTAGCCTGATAAGGGACAAAGGGACAATTTATTTGCTAGGAAGCTCTCTTGTTCCATGTCCTCAGGCCCAGTAAGCATCAAGTGGCAATTTGCACATGTTCAAGGCTTAAGCTGACTGTGTTCAGCAGGTCAGCGGTTCAAATCTCACCGGCTCAAGGTTGACTCAGCCTTCCATCCTTCCGAGGTAGGTAAAATGAGGACCCAGATTGTTGGGGGCAATGTAAAATATATATACATTGCTTACTGGTGTACACCGCTTAGAGAGTGCTTGCACTTAAAGCGGTATATAAGTCTCATAAATAAATAAATAAGATGAGGACAAATTTGCTATTTCAAAAAGCTGCCTTTCTATGGCCATGTGTCACTCTCTGTCTCTAACATAGAACACTGTGATAGTTTAAGTATTTTTCCCCCATTTCTGGAAAGCCAATGAAATGTGCTAGGTGCTGTGGCTTTCAACTGCCTAATCAGCCTCTGTTTCACAACAGAACTAAACAGAGGCACTACTAGAAGTGTGTTATAGCTTCAAATATAACATTTGCCTGATGGTTCACAGCTGAACTTACCCAGATGTCACATTTGCCCGGGAAAAATCTCTCTGGGATACGAGCAGCATACAAGCCAGCGCCAGTGATGTACAAACAGGCCATGAGGGCCAGCCATCCTATCTGCCCCATGGTGGCAGCCTTGAGGAACCCTTCCGAGATGACAAAGTGCAGAGTGGGAATCACACCACTAAGGCCCAGGGCCAGAAACACTCCTAGGAGACAGAGCAAATACAACAGATTCAACCTTGCATATAAATGAACCAGGGAAAAAGGAGACTGAATGGTTGACACTCAGGATCCCAGAGAAAAATATTAAAGCTCTCTAATGTCTAAAGCAGGGGTCTTCAAACTTGGCCCTTTTATGACTTGTGGACGTCAACTCCCAGAACTCCTCAGCCGGCGAATTCTGGGAGTTGACGTCCATAAGTCATAAAAGGGCCAAGTTTGAAGACCCCTGGTCTAAAGGCTGCGGTCTTTCATCAAGGGGTAAGACTAACTGTTCCAATCAATTACAGCTAGTCCTTGACTTACGACTGTAATTGAGCTCAGAATTATAACCATTAAGTTGTGCTGGTTGTTAAAAAGAGTCCTCATGTGACTGATCCAAATTTACAACATTTTTGCGGTCATTAAGCGAATCCCATTTGTTAAATGAATGTCACAGTTGTTAAATGAACCCACTGTCCACAATGGGCATTTTTGGAAAAAAACTGTAAGGGAATGCCAGTTCCCATTAAAAAAAAAAAGGATGTACATTGCAGTCATGTTGACCACAGAACACAACGAACATCCGTCAGAGCAATTGTGTGATCACAGAGGGGCTTGGCTGTCCGAAGTTTGAATCCTTGTTGCAAATACCATATTTTTGGGGGGAGGGTCCCTCATAATTTCAAACAGTCACTAAGTCATAAGTTGAGGACTATCTATAAAGCAGATTTCCTGATCAATGCAATTGTAATTTCAATTAGAAGAATACTTTTCTGTCCGCAATCACTAACAGAGGAATGTCAACCATGATTTATCATTACTTACTCAAATAGAAAGCTGCACAAAACCCTGAGCTTCCATATCCTCTGCCATTGTGATGAAAATATTCACTTATATTAACATATTATTAACTACCAATGAATCCTGCTTTGCTATTGAACCAGGGGCATTCTACTGTAACACAAACCTCGGCTAACAAAATACACCATCTTTATAATTCATAAAATTAAATAACTTTTATCATTTTTCCCATTGGTAAAGAATACTAAACATGTTTTTGTGTTACATGCAAATGTAGTCTATACCCAATACTGCACACAAATCTAAAATCAAAGAAATACCAAGTCCAAAATCCTATTTATTCAAATAAAGTTACTGTGAACACCTCTTAAAATTAATGTAACCAATCATAACTTTAATGAGATAACTCACTTTCTCTTTTCAAAATTTTATAAATTTAATTTTAGTCCTAATACCCAGAAGACGCACACCAAAATCACCAGCTAGCATTTTTGCTGAGCATGTGGAATTTTTAAATGAAGTGTCTTAAACCTAAATATCTCACATCTACTGTATGCAAATGGCAACTATTCAGACAATACCAGAATTCAGCTCATTGGTGAGGCAGGCTAACCAGTGATTTTCACCTATCCCAGGGGTAGGCAACCTTGACTCTTTTATGACTCATGGACTTCAACTCCCAGAATTCCTGAGCCAGCATGGCTCAGCTTGGAAACCTCTCCCTTTCCCCTCAGCATGGCTGGCTCAGGAATTCTGGGAGTTGAAGTCCATGAGTCATAAAAGAGCCAAGGTTGCCTACCCCTGACCTATCCTATTCATCAGATAGGCTTGACATCAATGGCTATAGGTTTCTTAGCGTATAAGTCCCACAAACAAAATGCTGAATAACGGGTACAGTTAGAACACATAATGCAGGAAAAACAATCTTGTGATATTTTCAAAAATAAATGTATTCTGGCTTAAATGTTTGTAAAGAGTAGCCACCAATTTGACAGCTTTATCCACAGTTAACCTTTCACATCTGGGAGTTCAGTTTTATCTACATGCACACAAAATATAAGACTGGTTATTGACAACACTTTACATATGGGATGAAGTGATGTGAAGTGATATTCCATAGGCCGTTAACATACACATTTTAAAGTTGTCACAAGAAACAGACATGACTGGAATGTTACATGATGCAAATCTAAGTAACAACGGCATTATGTAATTTCAAAGGGGACAGTATCATTTGTGCAAGCTCAATTTTTCATCCTACCTCTGATACACAGTATGTTGCAAAGACCGTTCTAGAAACCTCACCTGCTCGCATTCCGCGGTATTGCGGGGTTGCAAACATGTCCCACTGTGAAACTATAATGGCTGCAATGCCCAGGACGCAGATCACGATCAGATAGATGAAGCAGGGCTGAGGGTTGCAGTAAAAAGAGTAGTAAAGCCAAGGGACGAAGCTGCCCATAATGAGGAGAGCAATCCCAGAATAGTCCAGCCTAAGACAAAGGAGGAAAAAAAAGGTTGTTTGTAGAGAACTTCATGTACTCCCGTGTCCTTGTCTGCTCCCTGATTACACACCTTTCACAGTGCTGATGCACCTAACTTTATGAGCAATAAGAATCATGCCTGATCTTATCAGTAATACAATTACATTCTGAAAATAAACTCTGGAGACTGGTGAATGTATAGGAAAGAACAATTCTGGACATCTGTTTTCACCTGGCTTGTAAACTTTAAATGTAAGACATATATTCTAGTCCAGTGGTGGTGAACCTATGGCACGGGTGCTAGGGGCGGCACTCAGAGCCCTCTCTGTGGGCACGCACGCCGTCGCCCCAGTCCTAGGCCTTCAGCTGGGTTTTATAAAACCTCTTCGCTTTAGGCCTCCGCCGTGTGCAAAAAAAAAAAAAAGTTCAATCAATCAGTCAATTTCAACCTCTCGCACGGAAAAAAAAAGATCTTGCAAAGTTGGAATTGATTGATTGAACTTTTTAGTCCCACCCAATCTGCTGTTACCACTGCAACCACGCCCACCCAATGGGCCACGCCCACCCAATGGGCCATACCCACCCAATGGGCCACACCCACCCAATAGGCCACACCCACCCGGTACCTGACGATGCATAAGTAGATTTTGGGTTGCAATTTGGGCACTCGGTCTCTAAAAGGTTCGCCATCAGTGTTATAGTCTGTTGATCCCTGAAATAAAACTTTTGCAAACTTTCCCAAACAGGAAAACTGTCTCAGCTTATTTCCAATCTTATTTCCCATCTAGCCCTAAGAAACTCAGTACAGGTAGCCTTTGGGATATGATCATAATGGAGCTTGCCCATGACAGCCGCATGTCACAACAGTTGTTAAGCGGATTGGCCTCGCTTAATGATCCTACTAATTGCTCTCTCTGTTGCAAATGTTAATAGCAATAGCAGTTAGGCTTATATACCACTTCACAGCCCCCCTTTAAGCGGTTTGTCAGCCTCTTGCCCCCAACAATCTGGGTCCTCATTTTACTGACCCCGGTAGGATGGAAGGCTGAGTCAACCTTGAGCTGGTCAGGATTGAACTCCTGGCAGTCGGCAGAATTAGCCTGCAATATTGCGTTCTAACCACTGCACCACCAGGGTACTTAAACGTTAAACCAGTGGTTCTCAACCTGTGGGTCGGGACCCCATTTGGGGTCGAACGACCATTTCACGGGGGTCGCCAAACAACGCAATCCGCCATTTTTCCCCCTTTCCTTAGCTGGGCTACTCCCTTTTATTCTATTGGCTTTTGAAAGCCAATAGAATAGACTCTCTTGAATAGAGTCTAATTCTATTGGCTTTCAAAAGCCGATAGGAATTGTCCAGGCTGTCTCTGCCCTGCTGAGCCCACCAAAAGTCCCCTTCTGCAAACGGTGCTGCACCAGTTGAGTAGTCCTCGACTTACGACTGGCTGAGTAGTCCTCGACTTATGACCGGTTGGGGGTCGCGGCATTAAAAAGGTTGAGAACCACTGCGTTAAACGAATGCGAGAGCTGTTAAATGGTGCATAGGGTAGCTTGGGGGTGGGAAGACTACACAGGCCCAGGGCTGCCTGACCCAAGCCTCCCAAGGCTATTCCCACCCCACGAGGCACCATGTGCTCCGCTTCTTGCCAGGGTCTCAGCAACCCTTCAGCTTTCTTTTCACCAGCAAGCAAGGGGAGGTCAGACCAGCAGGAGTTTGCAAACTCCAGCAAGCAAGGGGAGGTCAGACCAGTCAGAATTTGCAAGCCTCCAACGAACAAGGGGAGACCCCGTCCAAGAACTTGCAGGATTCAGCCTCCGCCAGGCCCCAGCAAAACCCAATGTACTATTTTGGTTTTTTTTCAGTTTCTGAGATAGGTATCTGCCCTGATACAGGGTCAGTTTCTTATGAACTCAGCCTCCTGGCAAAATCCTGCTATTTTGCAACTGGTTCTATTCTTGCCACATGCGGAGCTTTTTTTTTTTTTTTTTTTTTAATGAGGCTCCATTTTTTTAAAGCAGGTCCTATTTGTGCTTTTTATGGAAGCTCCTTAGAAAGGGAGCCCCCTGCAGGTTCATGAGAATAACACCTGCTTTGCCACAAGGCTAAGCCTGTAAGAATGCTGAGGCTAGGTGCTAGGCTAGGCTAGGCGCCTCTCTCAGAAGTTGCAAAAAACGAAAAGTAGGCTGGGTGTTGCCGGGCTCTGGAGCAAGCTAAGTGCTGCAAGTCCTTGGGTAAGAAGGAAGCTGGAGGCCTGCAAGCTGTGGCAGGCCTGAGCTCCCTTTGTTGCCCGGCCTCCATTTGGTTGCTGGAGTTTGCATACGCCAACTTGTTGATCTGCCCTTACTTGCCTACTCCAACTTGTTGATCTGCCCTTAACTTGCCTACTCCAACTTGTTGATCTGCCCTTACTTGCCTACCCCAACTTGTTGATCTGCCCTTACTTGCTGGGTGGGAAGGAAGCTGGAGGCTTGCAAGGCCCAGCTGATTCGCTAGAGCCCCCTGATCTCCCTTAGGTGGACGAGTGGCTGCAGGGACTCAGCCGGGTGGGAGGAGTGGGGGGTGAGCGCTGCAGCACCCTCTCAGTCCGTTGCAAGAACAAATGACTTCAGGGTTGCCACAGCTGTCGTTAACTTTGAAACCAGGTCACCAGTAGCTTCAGGGGAGTCTGCTGTAACTTCAAGCGGTTGGCTAAGTCACCTGTCGTTAAGTAGCTTACGGGATTGCCTACATACACGCAATGCACTGCCGTTTTTCAAAATGGTTTGTGTACATTGGCTCAGTGATCCATATTGCCCTATGTCCAATCAGTAAACTTAGCCAATTTCTTCAGTTTTTCCCATTGCCCAGACCTAAAAAGAGGCAGACTAGGGATTTTAAAGCTCATGATTAATCATTAAAATGCTTACTTGGAGAAGAGCCTGGAAACACCTTCTGAATGGCAGTAAACTGTGTGAAAAAGCCATGAGAAGGAAAGGCAAAGGATGGCTCCCAAGAAGAACAATCCAACCACCACCTTCTCTTGAACGGGTGCTACAAAGGACATATTTGGCCGGAACATGTAGAAGATCCCCAAACACAGAAAGAACACACATCCTAGACAAAGGAAGACACGGTTACTGGAAGACGGGCAAAGGGGGCATAACCACAAAATACTGCCTCTAAATCATCTATCTTATGACTGTGCATATTCCAGCTAATAATAATAATAATAATAATAATAATAATAATAATAATAATAATAATAATAATAAAGTTGGAAGGGACCTTGGAGGTCATCTAGCCCAACCCCCTGCTCAGGCAGGAAACCCTATACCATTTCGGACAAATGGCTGTCCAGTCTCTTCTTAAAAACTTCCAGTGTTGGAGCATTCACCGCTTCTGGAGGCAGGCTGTTCCACTCGTTAATTGTTCTTAACTGTCAGGAAGTTTCTCCTTAGTTCTAGGTTGCTTCTCTCCTTGATTAGTTTCCATCCGTTGCTGTTGGCTTATTTTCTGACAAGAGGCAAAGATTTGCCAAAATTCTCCAATAAATTCGTAACAACGCTAACTGCTCTTTCCAGTTTTTCAAGTCTATCCTACTAGAATTTTTGATTCTTCCAAACTAATACCTGCCTACAGACCTCCCTTCCTATTTCAAGGTTACTCTTGGTGCACGAAACATTTTAGCAGGATTATGAAATCCAACAAAACAAGTGATCTGACACAAAGTCAGGATTAGGTCTAGCTTAGTGTAATCACGCATTGGAAATGGCGCTGACCACAGATATAATCAGTGAGCCACTAAGGCTTGGGGCAGATGTACTTTGACTGAAGCATAACCTACCAAGTAAAATAGTTGTAATTTACATACATTAAAAATGTCAGCAAATCACGTTTTGTTCCAGATCAGTAGTATATACTGACTGCAATGGCAATTCAAGGTAATTGAACATTAGTCTCAATGGTCAGGGAGCAAAGGTAATTAAGCTACTTTCAAAGATAATACAGAGAGTTGCAATGGATAATGTTGGTCTGCACCACTGCAACTCAGATAGCCCATGTCAAAGCCTAGAACCAGAAATCTTGATTCAGAAGTTTGATGAATGAAAGATTTCTCAAAAGCAAAACAAATCTATCTGATGCAATGAACAATACTGATAGTTAAAAAGAACCACCACTAGTTTGACATTGTAACTCAAGCTTGTTAAAGGAACCATATATAATGCAGGAGTGTCAAACTGCCGGCCCACGGGCCGGACGCGTCATCCGGAAGCCACACCCACCCCATTGCCGGCAATGGCAAAACCATCCCGATACGTTACGCGACATCATGTGACATCTCGAGTTTGACATGTCTGATATAATGCATAGGTTGGATGGCTATAATAGAAAAAGATAGGGTGATCTTAATTAAAATGATTCTTTCGGGGAACGGGAAGTAGAGTACCAGCTTTCACATGGATCTAGTAGATCAACAGTGACCATCAGGCAGGTCAACAGCAATCTTCAAATTGTTACCAGCCATAGCTGGGCAGAAGAACATATTACAACTTGCTAGCTGAGCTGTATGTATCAGAATATTGGGTTCGAGTCAACAAAAATTAATACTGGACCAAAACTATTTATTCTAATAGAATTACCAAAGTGACTATATTACATTCCTTTCATTCCTATTCCAATATGAACTATAAAAAGAAAAGAAAAAAAAACATTTTCATCAAGGGTACCTAGTAGATGCGTCCAGATGTTGCCTGTCTCTGTGTGTATTCTGAAAATGCTTTTAAAGCAAGCCCGGAAAGAAGGCATCGGTGGCCGGTGCCCATGCAACAGGTAGTCGTTGTCTTTTAACCAATCAGGCAAGACGTCGAAGGGAATGACACGCCATCGGCCCTCCCATACCTGAAGGAAGTAATAAGAAGTTATATTCTGGATGATGGTGTGATGGAACAGATCTGTTGAAAAATATCCTGCCCCCCCCAGGAAATCTACATATATGCTGTATGTATATATGCCCATTTGATTTTCCCCATGAAGTTAGTACACAAGATGATTATGATTCCCTCCTAGTTGAGCTGTATCAAAAGGAAGAACTGCAGAAGAACAAGAACGTAACTACTCTCAAAATGCAGCCCTACTACTTCCACATGCTTCCATCTTCTAACATTGCTCAAGGGCACAATGGTAGATGATATGCAAATTTTGAAAATATTTATTATTTCTTGAACCTATGCATACGTTATGTGCTATAACGGCTATAATGTTGCTTAGTGTGAAATTTTTTCCCATAAGGAAGTGTTCTTTCACAATATCCATTTGTAGGTGGTAAAAACAGGAATGAAAATAAGCACGTATGTATCATGCAGATAACTCACTGGGCTGCAAGACTCTATAATAGATCACCTGAGGCATATATAATGCATGAAAACAATGACAACCTAATACATCCAGTTTATTCAACGAACACAAAAGAGGTTCCTCCCAAGCAGGAATCAAATATATTATAATTTTTGAAATAGTTTCAATCCTGGATAAAAGTAAGAAGCAGATTCCTCTGCTACATTTGTATATTGGGGTTAAATTTTAATAGAATTTGTGTTAGATAACTAGGTTGCTAAATCTCTTGTTCCACTGATGCAGATACAGAAATGCAGAAAAGGACAAAATTATTCTGTTTTACTTCTGAAATTAATAACAGTTGCATCATGTTTAGGCTACTATATAGTATGAACTATTACCCTTTAAAGAATTGAAGAAAAATCAAAACAAGTACTGCTCCCAGAATTATACAATAGATTTGCCCAACATAGCAATTCAATAGAATTGGGATTTTATTTTTTGTACTGTGGAGACAATGAGATTCCAATACAAAAGAGGCATATGGTGATTTGAAAAGATTTGCAAGGACTAAAAGAAAGAATTGGGGAGAGGGAGGGAATGTGACCTTGTAAATTAAAGTCCTGTGACCCAGAAACTTGTGAACCACAGAGTATTATTCTGCTTTCACTTCTGCAGATGTTTCTAAAAGGAGACTCATCAGTTGTACCACATGTTTAATCCCACATTTCAACTTGTAATCCACATCATATTAAATTTTCTAATTTATCCAATTATGGAAGCTGTGAGATCTGAAGATACACCTACCAAAACAGAAGTAACCACCGAGATGACAGCGGTTCTTGATGACCACCCACTGTGACTTGCCTCTTTGTTGCCAGAAGGGCATGCACTGCTAGCCACGGGACCCACAAGCTGTGTAAAGCTCACTAGTGCATGGTGCCCCTTTGCTTTACAACATCTTACCTTGCATACAAATTCCTCCATTCTCTCCATTGCGTGGTGGGCTTGGAGGAGAGGCAGCATTCCCATAAAGCCCTCATCTTCCTGAGGTGAATTGTCATCCCCATCTTTGCCAGAATCCTGAAACAGAAAAATAATTAAAGATGGTAAGCAAAAGCTTTATTTTCAAAGGGCAAAACTTAAAACTGAAAGGTAAACTACAAAGCCAGAAATGTGAGTCGATGCACAAATGCAAGAAGATTGACCACTAAGACACCTTATCTAAGCTTCCTGTTCCACAGATGTTCTTTGGTTAGCTGTAACTGAGTGTTATGTGCCTCAGGAAGCTGTTTTTGGCATGGTTGGGAAAGACTGAAGGAGAGAGAATATAACTGTCTTCTGCTGTGTATCCCAATGTCTTTCAGAGAAGAATTAAAAATCTCCAAAGTTACTTGTTTCCTAAAAGTTTAAATAAGTACACAGCATGAATATCATCTATTATAGGAAATCCTTGACTTATGAGTGGCTGACATTTGAAGTTACAACAGCCTTGGAAAGGGTCCTTCAGGGGCCTCTAAAGCACCTCCGGCTGTCGTAAAATGTTACACTGCCTGCACTATGCTCACTAGATTGTGATTTGGATGCTTGGCAACCGTTTGCACTTATGACAGGTTGCCAAGCATCCTGCGATCATATGATCGTCATCTGTACTCTTCTCAGGGCAGCTTTCCCAGAAAGTCATTGGGGAGGCTGGCAGGGAAGGTCGCAAGCTGCTGCCACTTGTTGAGAGGATTCCCTCTTGTTTCTGGGGTCTGCTGAAAGAGCTGCCTGCTGAGGGGAGCTGAATTCTTTTGGAAAGAAGAGCTCAGATCCTGAAGATCAGCGCTTGGTTTCTGCACCCACCCAAAGGTGTTCCCTTCCGTAAATGGAAGGGGGCTGAACTACTTTGGTGAGGAGAAAAGAGCTCAGACCTGAACACCTACTGAAGGTGTTCCGTTCAATGCACGGAGATCTGACATCCTCCTACACAGTGTCGAAACAGAGCTTAAATCCTGGTTATTTGAACTCTACTCCTGCAGCCTGAAAAAAGAAGTTTCCTTCCCCACACAGAAGGAGCAGACATCCAGTGGCAGGCAGTAGATAGATAGATAGATAGATAGATAGATAGATAGATAGATAGATAGATAGATAGATAGATAGATAGATAGATAGATAGATAGACAGAGACAGACAGACAGACAGACAGATAGATGGTAAGATGGTTGTCAAGCACTGTTTTCTTTTAATGTGCTGGGTTATCTGTTCCAGATATACATGTATTTGTTCTTTCATTTCATTGTTTCTTATTTTTGAGGTATAAGGTGCCCAAAGTCATTATGAGTTGTATGGTCTCTAAATCAGAGAGAGCGAGAGAGCGTGAGAGTGAGAGAGAGAGACTCTTAAAGCTGATGCAGAAGATAAAGGAGATTGCTAGGGAATGGAAATAAGCAAGATATCAGATCTTGATAAGCATAGTCCCGTGACCCTTTCCAGGGTGTATGTTTCCATTGTCCTTTCTTAATAGCTCTATGAAGAGTGAGGAAAAAGAGCCATCCCCCCAACTCCAAACAATGAAAGTAGCAGCAAATTACAACGGTAGTTTCTCTCTCTTTTTCCTCAATTAATAGATCTCTACTCTGCCTTCTCAGGTGGTAAAAGAATGAACAGACAGTCCTTGGCTTCATTGAAACACTTCATCAGACCTTGAAAATAAAGAGCATCCACATGGAACATACTGCTGAGGAAGTAGAAACACGCAGGATTCTTGAATATATGGAAACAGAGGTCTTTGTACAATGAATCAACCCATGTAGCTACAGTAATTTATATAAGGTAAAATTATTTTCTCATTTGCATCTAGCTATCGGTATTTGTTAAGACGATAATTACCCTAAACAGTCTTGCCTTTACACCCTTTAACAGTTTGCCAGCTACGGTGAACTTTCCTATCAAATACTATACCTAACACTTGTCTTTTTCTTCTCTTTGGGTCTGACCTATTGAATTACCCTTATTAAAGGGCATGGGGGACATTCTCTTACCCATTTAAAACAGCTTTAAGAGGCTTTAAAATACTTTTTAAAAGTAATAAAAGCTTTAAAAGTTTTAATTTTCTCACCTGCATAGGTTGGAGAATTACTATTTTGAGAGACAGAGGGAGGGATCTCAGCGATGCAGAAACTTAAAACTTTCGCTAAAATGCTGCTCCCTTTTTTCGCCCACTATAATTAACTTGGCTCAACAGTCTTACTGCAACAACATCAGAGATAAATGGCTCAGCTTCCCCTGTCCTCTTGGCCAACTACTGCCACTGCAATCTTGAGCGGCCTATTCCCCAGAAGCAGGGGAAGAGAAGCTTTAAATGAAATGTTTCAAAAGAGGGACATTATTTTGCAGTAACCTGACTCCAGAAGGAAGCTTGCCTGTCTAACCAATCACAAGGATATTTTGTGTGAGGAGCTCCGTAGGCGTGTTTCTGCTCTAAGGGCTCGGCAACCAGACTGCAATAGGGGGCACGTAACCCAACGGAAGCATGCCATCTGGATGCAGCTAGTTGTTATTCTAAACTGACACACAATAGAGCGAGACTTTTTCTCTTCTGAGTTGAGCATTCAAGGCTGGAATGATCTCTGTATGGATGGTGAACTGCCAGTGTTTGTTTTTGCAAACTTAAAAAATTTTAAGGTTTGGGGACAAGGTAAGCAAATTACAACAGTTAACACAGTTACAGTTTGCAGAAATGAAGTGTGAGGAAGGCAGCATTCTGTAACTTAATGACATTGATGATGGCCATCAAAAGAAATGCCCCCAGAGCACTAAGCATTACTCTACTGTAGGAGTGACCAATGTATGATACTCCCAGCACCAGTATATTCACCGGGATGGTATGATGGACTATATCTTCAACCTCTACTACCTTTGGCTATATCTTCTAGATGCCATCTAACTGCAATGAGGATGAACACAGGTAGGCTATTCTCCATTCTATAGAATAGATGCATCCCAAGACAGGAGAACAAGAGAGAAATGAAATGAGAGTAAAAAGGTTAGCCAAGAACAAAAGTGGTAATAAGGATATAATAGTCCAGAAAAACTTTGAAGAGGAAAAGCTGGCTTGAGTTAACTGAGCAGGTGAAGCAGAATACAGCAGAAGTCAAAGTCAGGAGTGAGAAATACACACAAAGAGAATGGATGATAAGCTTATATGGTAACATTAAAGTGCAGCAAGGGATTCCAGAAGAACTACACAGTCATTGTCCATATTAGATGTATATAAGGCTGGTCCTCTCTGATGTAAGTGAGCACTACATATCCTGATATCATCCATGTATACTGGACCTACACTAGACCTCTCTTCCCATTACCTCAGTATCCTATCCCCTTGTGGATGTGGGCTCTAGCCCAATGCAAATGAAGGGCACCAGGTCGAGAAAGGTTATAAATCAAAATGAAGACATAAGGTTCATTATTATGCAAAAAAGTGTTAGTCTACAACAGTGGTTCTCAACCTGTGGGTCAAGACCCCATTTGGGGTCGAACGACCATTTCACGGGGGTCACCAAACAACACAGTCCGCCATTTTTTCCCCTTTTCCTTAGCTGGGCTACTCCCTTTTATTCTATTGGCTTTTGAAAGCCAATGGAATAGACTCTCTTGAATAGAGTCTAATTCTATTGGCTTTCAAAAGCCGATAGGAATTGTCCAGGCTGTCTCTGCCCTGCGGAGCCCGCCAAAAGTCCCATTCTGCAAATGGTGCTGCACCAGTTGAGTAGTCCTCGACTTACGACCGGTTGGGGGTCACGGCATTAAAAAGGTTGAGAACCACTGGTCTATAAGGTGCTAAATAATAAATCTGGTGATCAAAATACTGTATGAAAAATGTCTCCCAGACATAGTCTTATATTCTTTAAATGTAACAGATTGCTTTTTATCAAAAGAGTTTATATTACTTGTATTTGGTCTATCATGCCAACATACCTAATCCCCCGAAATATGTTTCTACAGTATCACTTTTTTAAAAAACGGGTAAAATGACTAGATTCTGATTTTCCACTATCCCTTGCTATCTAAAAACAATCCAGAGTTGCTTTTAGTGAGATGGACGGCTATACAAAATGTGATTAATAAATAATAGTTTCCCATAATTTAGACACAAATATGAATTGGTCCTCTATCTTAAAAACAGTTTCAGTGTAATAACTTTTTTCTTAGTCTGTGTGTCAGACAAATAACCAACCTTTGCCTATCTGTTCAACAGCAACACAAGTAATGGCTGTGTAGTCAACTTATTTGGAGAATGACCAGGCACTCTGAAACCAGGCAGAACTGAGAACTGCAGCTGCCCTCAAAACATCTTCCCCCATCTTTTTTGACCATATGTTAATTCCCAAAGCAGCTGTGCATTAGTGTGACAAGCTCCCTGGCATAAGTTGGCTTTATGAAGCACAAGAGGAAAAAAAAACCACACATCTACAACAGCTGTTGAAAAACTTCTCTTCTTCTTCCAGAAAGGGAAATGACCTATCTGCTTGGTACAAAGCTTTTTTTTTCTTTTAAAGACAACAAATGGATTTTTTTTCTTGTCTTTTCTCCCCAAGTCATATACTGTGTTTCCCCAAAAGTAAGGCCTACCCCGAAAATAACCCCTAGCTTGATTTTTGGGGGTGGGCCTAATATAAGCCCTGCCCTCAAAATAAGCCCTAGTTTTGGGGCGAGGCACACACCTAAAAATCAAGCTAGGGTAGGGGTGTGGAGCTGCCCTATGTGCCCTGCACCCACTTACCTTGCAGCCAAGCCTCTCCTCGCCGGTCCACTTCTTCTGCGGCGTCTTCTGTAGCCAGGCCTGCATTTCTCAGTCACAGGCCTTTCCGGAAGGCCTCTGCAGCTGTGAATCGAGCTATGGATTCAATCTATAGCTTGGTTCTGCAAGACCTCTGCAGCCGAGGACGGAGCTATCGATTGAATCCACAGCTCGGTACTCGGCTGCAGAGGTCTTCCGGAAAGGCCTGACTGCGAAATGCAGGCCGAAATGCAGCTGCAGAATGAAGCTGCTCCTTCAGCCACAAGAGAAATGGATCTACTGGGCAGGGCTGTCGTTGCTG